ATTTTGGTTTGTGCAAACTTAGAATGTAGAGAAAAGGACAGAGATAAAGTGAGAAAGGGAGAAAGAGAGATATGGAGAGGAAGGAAGACGGGAAGAGAATACGAACCAGGGTCAATGGGGGCAACTGTTGTCACTGAAATCGTACGAGTATTAAAAAATCAGCAAATTTTGCCCATATCTAGGAGCTATAGACCAAACCTAATCAATCCCAAACTGCTAGAGCTATAGACCAAACCCAAAAACATAAGACCAAACCTTAGGAGTAAAAAAAAGAGGGAGTTAATAAATAAATATGATAATGTAAAGCTAAAAGCATCTAATAATCACTAAGAGTAGTAAATTTAAATCTAATAATTGCCGCAAAATTCCAGACCAATGGGTGCTTTAAATTTGAAGAAAGAACAATAATATTAACAGAAAGTTGAAGAACAAGGGATTCTACCATTATAATTTCCACCAGTTAACCTGCACAATTATCAGAACAGTAATAGGTTAATGCTTGGCTACATATACCAACTTTGCTACTACAACATCCAAATACAAGTGTGAATGATTTCACTTAGATTTCACAAAAAGAACAATTAAAGGAGGAGAACCCCTTCATATCATTGTGACAACATCATTACTTGATGACTCACACACTCACACTACTAATTTCTTTTTTGAGGGGGTGTATGGTGGGGATGAAGGGGCCAGCAATGGAATAAAAAGTCCAACTAAACAAAAGGATGCCAAAATAATTATATGCATAGACTAAATCCCGGTCAAGGTCAAATCCCAAAAACAAAAATGTACAAGCAAAATCAATTAAAGCAATCAGAATTCTTCTTGATTTGGATAAGAGCATGTAAGCCAAAAAGATAAAATCAAACCTTCAAGACACCCATCTCAAGCCCTTCTAAGTGCCTGAATCCAAGTATTCTTACTCAGACATCAATCCCTTCTCTATAAGACTACTCAAGCTTATGGACGTCTTTATCAGCCACGTCAGAAATCTGTAGAAATGAATCACCCTTGGCATCCAATGTATACATACATAGCTTTTAGAAATGTAAGAAAAAAGAAATACATACCGTCACATATGGAGGTGTAGAAGCCGGAGACGATGGGATTTCAAGCAAAAGGCCCCAATCTTTATCTACTCTGATTACTTTCAAGTGTTCATAAATCTCTCGTGTCCTGACATGCTGCATACCAGATACAAAATTCAATAAACAAACTCATATAAGAAATGTTTATGAACATCATAACAAATCCTACACTTGTACAATCCAAAAAGGATTCAAGTCTATAAAATCTTGGCAAAGAAGATGCTATAAATAATATTACTACTCTTGAGATATGTAAAAACTTCTGTAAACAATCACTTTAAATTAACCAAATAGCAAAACTAAATAATCTTTTTCGTACCAAACCTAGTACATTGGTGCACAATATTGAAAGCAGCAGCAAGAAAAAGCAAGTCAGAAATGAATTTTTCCCCAAAACAAAATAAACCTAAAATGTGAAATTCATATTCAGTGATTAAAAAGAACTGATAATTAGACCATCTAGTTATTACCTCAAAACTACCCTTCGATGGAGGAGAAGCTAGAATTTAATGGAGAGCTCAAACACCAAGTAAATTGGCGATGAGCCCTAGATTTATATCATCAATCACCTGCAATTCATAATTAAGGGTCATATGAAAACACTAAAACCCCTAGATTAAATGAGAAAATACCCACAATCTATGTTCATTTAAGCAATTCATCGAACACTTTAAGATCGCATATTTACATGACAAAAGCAAATAATATAACATTTAAATTAGATTCGAATGAACTCACCTTGGCACATACATTGACAACTCAATCAAGAATATCTTCTTTAATTCAATCTTGAACATATGGGTTTCCTACAAAATCCCCCCAAAAATAAAATCAGAAATGATCAAGCTTAGAAGAACACTAAATTGACAATAAAATTAATGATGAACCCTAAAATAGGTATTTGAAAAAGAAAAATCTTACCTCAGAAGCTGCTGTATTCTTTTCCGATGAAGTTCATGGGCTAAGGGCAAGGGCGTCAAATATAATCCTAAAATAGGTATTTAAATACTAAGTACGCAACTACACCACCATCAGCTCCTCGAAATCGCGCAACTACACCACCACCAGCTCCTTGAAATTGCGCCATCGACACAGCCGCTGCAACACCCATACACAATAAAAAAAAAACAACAATTAATCTACTAAGAAAGAAAAAGGAAAAACAAAAAGGAAATACTTTAGCTATATAAAAACAAAGGAAAGGAAAGAAGACATAGCTAATCAGAAAAGAAAGCAGGAAAGAAAGAGAGAGAGTAAGTTGCAGAACACCGACAAAGAAAGAGAAATAGCCACGCGTCAGCCCGCTGAGAGCACATGCAATGTAAAATCAAAAAGACCGAAATAGCCCAGTCAACTTGGTCAACCAGAGAAGGGTGCTAAGGGGCAGGGAGGGCAAAATCGTCAATTTTCTGTTCATAAGGAACAGTAAAATTGCTAAAGTCTTGGTGCTTGGAGCTTTTAGAAGGGTTATAGATTAGACCCCAACCAAGGGGAGGCTCAATTTTTGCATTTTGAATTACTTGTACACAGTACACTAATGAAATATGCTATGAACTTTCATTTTGTAAGTACTAATGTGCACATACTAAAGCACAAAATAAAAGAAAAAATTATTTTGCTTCACCTTAATAAATTATGGACAAATATAATGCATGAGAAATTATGAGAAGTGTTTAGATCCTTAGAAAAACTAAGGTGGCTAACGCATGCAATGCGCTCATATAGGTAGACAATAGCTTCGACCTTTTTTGAATTGAAGGAGAAAAATATTTCAATGCCAAATTTTGTTGTTCATTTGTTATTTTTGTCTCGTTAGAGCATCTCCAATAACAAGTTACAATGCTATGTAGCTTGATTTTTACGACACTTTTTAGCAACAAAGTGTTTCAATGGTAAGCTACAACATCTTTAGTTTGAAAAAAATAAAATTTTATAAAATAAATAAATAATTGTACACATGTTACAATATGAGTGAAGTTTATTTTAATCAAGCATGTACCTTGTTTGGGCTACAGTTGCTTGCATGTTGCTCAATTTTTTGTTCTCCAATGGTAAGCATGTAGCTAGAAACTTTATATATATTGCAAGCAAGTCTTCACCATTGAACATTGGAGATGCTCTTAGTGTTTAATGACATTAAAATAGAGAATATGTTAACAAATCGTTAACTATTGACAGGCTTAAACTAGTTAATATTATTAAACTTTGTTTATTATAGGAAGAAATTTTATCTAACATGTAAAATCAATGGACAAAAAAATTAAGAAAGAGTTTGAACAAATTTACTTATAAAACACAACTTAGCAAAAAATAATTTTATCAACATGTACTATCAAATCACCAAATACTAAAATAATTTTAACAACGCGTATTATCAAATCACCAAAAAAACCCTGGCAACATAAGTCATCACTTAACATTTTCAAATTCACCATATATATATATGCTCCTGAATTTTGTACATTGACATTAATAAAAATTTGTATTGTATGACGGGAGAAAATAAAAGTAAAGAACATTGGGTGAAAAAGCCGAAGAATATATATGCTCATTTTCAACACGTAAAAAAAAAAATTTAAGAAAAAAAAAATGTCCTTTAACAAAGTAAGCATAATTATATGCCTTCCAAAAAAAAAAAAAAAAAAAAAAGTAAGCATAATTATATTGTCAACATAGAGAATAAATGAATAAACAAATAAATAAAGGGTTTTTCTACAGTATAACCCTCTAGCCTTTTATTTTCTACGATGTGTCCCCCTATTTGAGAAATCCATACTCCAACCCAAAAATACATTTACTCCGAAATACGGTAACCTTGTTGTTATACCGCCGTTAACAAATCCCGTTAGTGCGGCCCACTCTCCACTTAATAATACTACCTCCGTTACAGGTTATGTGCAACGATTTGACATAATTATTTCGTTACAAATTTTAGTGGCTATTTTTTGGTCCTTAGGGAACCAAATTGAGCTCAAATTTAGCAAAAAAAAAAAAAGCCTCGTTTTGCGTATTAGATACGTAAATACGCAAATCGAGATTTTTTTAATACCTAAAACAACCGTCCCCAATGCATACCTCTTTCATGTCGGAACAACCCCAACCTTTTCCCCTTTCATGCCAGCCCCCACCCTCTTCCTCGTCACTCCCCCTTTTCCTACCTCGCTTTCCTCTTCCTTTGTGTTTGGGCGATTTGATCTAAGGGGTTGTGTGTATAGGGTGGTGTCGGGTGTAGAGGTTTTTGTGGATGGCTAATTAAGGTGGCAGGTTTAGGGAGTTTTTTGTGGGTGGTTAATTAAGGTGCCAGCTCTATTTTAAAGGGCTATATTGAGAAGAATATAGGACACGAGATTGGGCCACAAAGGTTGACCCAGTGCCGGCTACTTCAACAACTCAACTTACCTTTTATTTTTATTTAACTCGATTAAATTGCTTAAAACCGACATTTATTTTAAAAAAAAAGTAAAGAGAATTTTTTTTAGTGGTTAAAGAGCCACAAGGATGGAGGTGATGAGAATCAATCTGACGATCTTCTAAAACCAGAACGAAAGCTCTAACCAATAACCACTCCAGTCGTTTTCATTTTCAAAATGAAAAGAGAATAATAATCTTATGAAAAATATCTCCAACACGATGGCAAAAATAGTCAAACATCACAAACCTCTAGAGCCCACGATCACGAGCAAAAAACCAACTAATATCACGAGATATTTCCATTTTTTCCATCTAAAAAGAAGAAAAATAATGATCACAAGATATTTTATTCAATCCCCCTAAAAATATCTTTGTTTAACCATAGTTACTTCCAACTAGCACTTTTCCTTAACCCTAGTAAACCCCCAACCCTGCGGAAACGGCTAACTCTCACTCTCCCAAACCCTACCTCAACCCTATATAAACACCACTTCATCAACACACAATTCATCGTGCTCTCTATTTCCTTCTTTCTTCTACATTTCTTTCAATCAAATTTAAGTTTCTTCATTAAAAATGGCAGCAGAAGTTGAGTACAGATGTTTCGTCGGAGGCCTTGCATGGGCCACCGACGACCAAGGGTTGGAGACTGCTTTTGCTCCTTACGGACAAGTCATTGATACGAAGGTTTCGTGTTACTAAATTTCCTGAAAAATTGAAAAAAATCGATAATTCTGTTACTTTGATTCGAAATTTTCTGCTACTACTTTGATCTGTTACTATTGCTACTATTGTTACTTGATCTGTTGTTTTTATGATGATATCCGGAAACGGTATGTTCTCGAAAGATGAACGATCAATTTCTATTCAATTTTTCGTAATTTCGTGCTATTTTTCATAGATCTGGAATTAATAATGAATTTTTCGATCGATTTTCAGGTAATCCTAGACAGAGAAACCGGCAGATCCAGAGGATTTGGCTTTGTTACATTCGGAAGCAAAGAAGAGCTTGACGCTGCGATCGAAGGAATGAACGGTCAAACACTCAACGACCGTCAGATCACTGTTAACGAGGCTCAAGCTCGCGGCAGTGGTGGAGGCGGTGGTGGCGGCTTCCGCAGCGGCGGAGGCGGCGGATACGGTGGTCGTGGAGGAGGTGGCTACGGTGGAGGAGGCGGCTATGGAGGTCGCCGTGAAGGCGGTGGTGGAGGCTACGGAGGAGGTGGCGGTTACGGTGGTCGCCGTGAAGGCGGCGGTGGTGGTTACGGAGGAGGTGGTTACTCCCGAGGTGGTGGTGCTTCCGATGGCGGAAGCTGGAGGAATTAGATTTATGACGAGATGTCGTTATAATTTTATGTTATGGTCGTCATTTAGTTAGATGTTGCGATCGATTTGATGTTACTGTTACTGTGTTATGGTGATTGTTTTGATCTATGGTTAATTAAGGTGTTCTGGAAAAAATGTGGTATGGTTGAGAGTGAGGTTGGGTGTTACTTTTTTTAATTAAAACAATAGTTTCAGCCTTTGGATTAATGAAAAAGAGATTGAATGCCAAATTTTTATTGTGTTCGTTTGTTGATTGGTATACTTTGAAGTTTTATTACATTGAGACGAACATGAATTATCTTATTAATTCGACTGGCAGAGATAATCGAATATACTGTATCACTGTTTCACTGACAAAAGTAGTGGAGTAGTACTCTTACTCCAGTAATCTGTTCAATGTGCACATGTGCATTTCATTTTAAAAGAAATTTACTCCGTCAATCCATTTATGTAATACTCACTTGATTTTGGATTCAGGTAAGAAAAAAGAATTAAATATTATAAAAGATTTTAAAATAAAAAAATGGAAGTATTAAAAAATGAAGAGTATTTTGTAAAATTAAAAAGATGCCAATCCAAAGTCTGATACTCGATCTATTGAATTCTTAAATATTTTTTTTTTTTGGTGAATTTGTAATTTTTTAATTGGTTTGTTTTCAATTGTAAATTCTTTTTGTCCTTTTCTATTGCGAGGATACAGAATTACAGAGTATTGAATAAGAAATTGGTTTTACCCCAAGTTTTAGAATACACCTCAATTGGTATGGGTTTAATTTAATGGGTCATCCTAAAAGGTAGTAACGCAATATTTTCACGGAGAATAGTCGTGCAATCGGATGAGTGTAAGTCATATAAGGCTTAAATAATGAGCATGAAGCCCAACGGAAAAATATACATGCTTTAATTTAGAGTTACATAAGAAAGTCATTTTTAGAGCTGACTTTGCAAATATTACCGAACTCGTAATATTATTTAATGTACAAATAACTGAAATAAGGTTTCATTTTTCATTTGCGTTGAGCTTTCAAGCTATCCCTCAAAAATTAAAGCGTATGTATTGTTTACATACACCAGTTTTATGGATGGATTATGCAAAATATTAGAAGTTGAAGGCTTGAATAGAAGTTATATTAAAATCGAGTCCAAACTTCTAATTTCTAAAGCCCGAACCATGGTGATAGATTTGGATTGAACTTTGGGGTTTTCTTAGTCTACCGGCTCTACCCCTACACTATTGGGCTGAACCTTGTTATTCTTTTCTAATGTTTTTCAAATTAGTGGGCCAAGAGGCCCAAGACACGAGTTGCGTGTTGTTTCTCATGCTGTGCCCAACCCATTCCCCTGCCTCACTTACCTTCAGAGTTTAAACACAACTCACATAAGTATTGGTTAGATCTTATATGGTTTTTTTTGGTGTGCCCAGTAATTTCATCCATTTACTACTCTCTTCGTCCTTTTATTAGATTTCTATTTTTAGCATTTATTCCTCACAAGAGAGAAATAAAAATCTAATTAAGGGATAGAGGGAGTACAATCTTCTCGACAAAAATAAAAAAATAAAATAAAAAAATAAAAAATAAAAAAATCTAGGGACTAGGCATATGACGTAAATCAAATGCTTGATGTCCTTCTTAACATTTCGCTACCCTTTCTCACCAATTCTCGATAAGTTATAATAAAAAATACCGTACTAATTGTCGAATTATAATACTCGTAATGACATATAGTTTGTGTTTATTACCACCGTTTTACTAATTTTCACGATGCAATAAACGTTCATGTTACTAACACAAATTCTTTTTAATTTTTATTTGTTACCATTTTAGTTTTAGGTATGGGCGGGTGATTATGTGCAAAATAGGTCAACAGAAATTATTTGAGTATGATAAATGATAAGAGAGAATAATATTTTATCACCAGTTAATTTATTAAGTACATTCTACTAAATTGGATGCCTTTTCCTAATTTAGATATTAAACCTTCATATATAGTCTAATATAGTCTAGGGTAAATCAAATACATTACACTCCAGTAACTACCTCTTTGAATAGATTCAACTAATTAACCAAATTGATAATATGCACCAGTTTTTTGGGTCGTTGTAGATTAAATCGGCGATGTATTGTATATTAAAATGGTAGCTAACATCATGTTAGTATTAACTAAGTCGAGACCTGTTCTTTTCAGCTTAATTTCCGTTCAATTCAGCTCCAATCAGTTCAATTTAGTTCCTAATTTCCTTTTGTCATAAAAATTCATTTCAGCTTTATCCAGTTCAATTCAGCTCCAATCAATTTAGTTCGACTCCTAATTCCCTTATCTCATAAACAATTCATTTTGAGCTCTATTCAGTTTAGTTCAGCTCTAATCAGTCCAGTTTCTAATTTCTTTATCTCAAAACAATTCATTTCAACTCTATTCAATTCAGTCCATATCCAATCAATTCAGTTCTTAATTTTCTTTTTTTCATAATAGTTCATTTCAGCTGTATTCAGTCCACTTCATATCCTATTAATTTAGTAAATTTGAACATATCCTTAAACATCTTATGGTAATATACATTAACATACAAGTAATGTCAAAAGCAATACATCAACAAAAGAAAAAAAAAAAAAATAAAAGACCTTAAAAGTTCTTGCAATATCATACTCTTTTGAAAATTTAAACCAAAAGCCACAAATTTAGGATAATTAGCCGTTCGGAATCTCACTCCCTTTGAATTTCAGGCTACTTGTTCAATTTAAAACAAGGTGCTAGTTTCCTAGATCCCCTCTAAAAATAAAATATTGACCAAAGTTCACTAAAAAACGGAGAAAGCACTTTCCTCCAAAATATCTCCTCCTATAATTAGTATACACTACACCCTAGTGTAGGTACCATAACCTACACCCCCTACAAAACGCAGCGTTTGCGTTTTTCCCCTACCCCCACAAACTACAGTAACTACCCCCACTCACTCCCACTAACCACAGTAAATTAGAAATAACTTCCCCTACCCCACATATATATTATTAAAAAAAAAAAAAAACTATCCATTTCAAATTATTCTCTCTCTAAAAACCATCTTCTTCATTTCTCTAGAATTTCTCTCTCATCAACACCGTCGAATCGGAACGAAATTCTCTTCAAATTATTGCAAAATTGCTTCAAAACACTTCATAATTGCTTCAAATGTCTGATATTCGAGATGAAATTAAACAATCACAAAAAAAGGAGTAAGTAATTTCGTTAGTTTTGTTCATTTTTTGAGATTGTAGTGCAATTTTATGTGTGAAACCTTAATTTTGTTCATTTTGTTGCGATTGTAGTGCGATTTTGCAAAAAACCACTACAGAGAAGAACATGAAAGAAGAAACTGCAAAATCGGAGCAAAATGTATCTAAAGAGTAAGTAATTTTGTTCATTTTTTTTCGATGACAATTATAGTGCGATTTTATGTGTGAAACCTAATTTTTGTTCAATTTTTTGCAATTGTAGTATGATTTTGGAGAAGAATACTTCAGAGACGAGTAATTTGTTGAAAATTTCTGAAGAAATGTATGAACTCTAACTTTTGTAAAACCTAATTTGTTCATATTCTTGCGATGAAAATTATAGAGCGAATTTATTTGTAAAACCTAATTTTTGTTAAAAATTTTTGCGATTGTAGTAATTGTTCTAAGATTTTACTGAAAATAACTAAAACATTAACAATTTATTAAATAAAACAGAGACGATGATGATGATGTACCTCTTCAGTCAAGAGTAGACAAATTGAAAAAAAACCGCCAAAATGATCCAATTGTAGATCCGGAACTTTTAAAAGATATTGACAAGTCAATTGGTACGGATTTAACAATGTCTCCACTACCAAGGTAATTAGTCATTTACAGAATATATTATGTTCATGTCTAATATGCTAGTTGTATTTGATAAAATTGGTTTTATCTTTGTTTAATATGTTATTTGTATATGATCATATTTGATACTCATAATGTTCATTTATAGATATAGTTATGATCATATATTTATATTTGTTCATATGAGTATTTATTGAGATTTAAAAACAAAAGTACATTTCATTGAAACATCATTGTATATGATCATATTTGATACTCATAATGTTCATTTATAGATATAATTATGATCATATATGTATATTTGTTCATTTGAGTATTCATTGAGATTTAAATAACAAATATACATTTCATTAAATCATCATGCACATATATAAATATGATAATAATCATTTCAGTGATATGCATTCAAACTAATGTCATGTAATTAATTTATAATGTAGTGATGTGCCATTTAGAGTGATACACTTGCTTCAATTTAGAGATGGGAAATCTGAACCATTAACTCTAAAGAAGGTTATAGAACAAAATGAATATGGTAATAGTTATGAAAGATACACTTTAAACAAGTAAGTTTATATGTATAAAATAATTGTTTTTACATTCAATTATTGTACATTGTATATATATACCAAACTTATTAGGTAATTCTTAAAATTTTAGTGAAAAAAAAAAGGTTCGAGTGAAATTTGTTATGTCAAAATCAAGACCACCAGAGACAAATCAAACAATAAGGTATAAAAGCTTTATACAAAATAACTAATTATCTTCTTCATTGTATAAATTAGTTCATACTTTAATATCATATTATATAAAATAATTCTGTTTTTTTTAAGTGAACAAAGTGAGAACATTCCTGCTACTAATGCAACAACTAAGAGTGTGTCTGCTACACATAACACAACTGACAAAGAGAGTAGGGATGAAAGGTATACTAATGATCAATTTTATATAAATAAATGTTCATTTTTATAACAGTATATTTTATGTACAATTTATGTGCATTTTTTATTTAAAGTATTTCTTAATATTGATTTCAGCAAGCAAGAAGAAGTTCAACCAAAAGTGCAAAGCAATCCAGTAAAGAATAGTCTTGGCCAAAAGTAAGAAAACTTAAATGTTCAATTTAGATAGACTATATGTTCATTTGAAAATCAGTACAAAAAAGTTTGCTCATGACCAATAGTAATATAAGTTATATGTTCATTTTTTTATTTACTAATCAAAATTGTAAATTCAAACATATTTTTAATGAAATATCAGAAAACCCAAAGATGATTCAAGAATAACAACATTAAAGGACAAGATGCAAGAAATACATTTAAACATAGAGAGAAACCCAAAGTATGTTTAAATTTAAATAATTGAATTAATTTAATCAATTAATGAATATATTTCAAAGTTAATATCATACATTTACAGAAAGTACAAAGAATCGACAATCAGAATTATGAGAAATCTCAAAAGAATGGAAAAGGCAAGCAAGGAAATCAGGAAAGGTAAATGATCATATTTATTGAATATTTTTGTTTAATAGTCATAAATATCAATTTTAACAATACTATTACTTTTGAAGGTGAAGCAAAAAAGAAAGAAAAAGGGCCAATAGAAGAGAAAACTGTGGAAAAAGGTAAAAATTTTAAAATGTACATTTTTATTACAAAAAATGTTCATATTGGAAAAGCATAATATTAAATATTCAATAAGGTTAAAAAAATTAAATTTTAACTAAATAAATTTTAATAGAAGGACAAGAAGGAAAAAAAGGGACTGAAAAAGAGAAAAGCCCTAAAGACAAAACTGTGGAAGATGTCTTTCCAAAGACAACAAATGTAGAAGGTAAAAATTTATAAATGTACATTTTTATTACATAAAATGTTCATATTGGATCTACATAATATTGAATGTTCAATAAGATTAAAAAAAATATATAAATATTAACTAATTAAATTTTCATAGAAGGACAAGAGGGAAAAAAAGAGCCTGAAAAGGAGAAAATCCCTAAAGAGAAAACAGTGGAAGATGAGTCTACAAAGACAACAGATCCGAAAGGTAAATAGTGGAAAATGTACATATTCATTACCTGAAATGTTCATTTATATTGTATATAGTAAACATTTGTCATCCAATTTAATAAATGTTTATTTAATCTTTTATATTTGATCATTTCATATGCAGCACAAATTGCACCTGATTTTGTTCAAATTGAGGATGAAACTTATCTTCTAGATCAAGATGATGATAAAGTTTCCACAAAACTTAGTGAGGAGACAGCTCCATCATCACAAAAAAGTGATCAGTCAACCAAAATGAAAACAAGATACAAAATGGTTGCAAGGAAAAACAAAAACAAAAGCCTTGTTGTTGTGCCAAGTGGTAGAATTACAAGGAGCCAAGGTAATCATAATACTTTTCTGTTACACAATAAATATTACACTTTCAAATATACTAACATAAATTTTTTTTAAAAACAATAGATGTTCTGTTAGATGAATCTGAAAAGGGAAGCCTGAAGAAGGATGTTGAACCTGCTAAAGAAACCGCAAAAATAGGACAGAAGAGAAGAATGTCTACAAGGAATTTTCCTATTCAAAAGGAAGCTGATGCACCACCTCCAGCACCTACTCCAATAAAAAAAATGGCAGGTGCTCCTGCTGAATATCCTCCAGACCAAGGCAAAAAGGGTAAATGTTCAATCTTAATGTATAGAATGATCATTTATGATGGTATATCATTAATGTTCAATTTCAATATATAGGTGGGAAAAAGAAAACTCTAGAAGAAGTGAAGAAAACTTCTAAGGTTGCTGGCAAAAGAAAAGCAGGTATATAATGATATATTATAAATGTTCAATTTCTATATATAGAATGATCATTTGAGAAAACAATTTTGTTCATTTTATCATTTGCTTACTGTACATTTTCAATACTTAAACAAAATTATATATATTTAATTTTCAGATGTCAGTCCTGCCAAGAGAAATGCTGGAAAGAGAAAAAAAATACAAGAAGTACCATCAGATGAACCCTCTCAAGATCCTACTGATGAAAGTTCTACTGACAGTGATGATGATAGTGAAGAGTCAGTTTATAGAGCAGAAGAAGAGCCTGTCAGTGAGGATGATTATGAGGTGGAGGAAGAGGAGGAAGAGGATGAAGTAAAGCCAAGGAAGAAACAGGCAAAGAAAGGGAATTCAGTGAAGGCAAAGGTTGAAAAGGAGGAGCAAAAGATGGTACTGTATGATGAAGGAAAGATTGAAGGTAGGAGAAAAAAGAAAATGAAAACTGAAATGGTTCAAGCAATAGAAACTGATGAAGTTGAGGAAATTCAGGAAGATGAATTTGAGGAAGAGAAATCTTCAAAGAGAGGAGGACATGTGAAGTTCATTGCATGGATAAAAAAGATGACACCTACCCAAAAACAACAAGTTGTTGATATAGGGTTAGGATCACTTCTTGACATTAGTTTACCTCAACTTGATCAAAAGTTCTGTAACTGGTTATTGGGAAGTTTTGAAGAAAATAGCCAGTGTTTTGAACTACCAAAGAATGAAAAAATAGAAATTGAGGTAGAGGATGTTAGGGTAGTTTATGGCTTGCCTACAGGAGAAATTCCAATTGTTGAGCCAAAGTCTGATAAAATTAGTGAGGAGTATGCAGAATTTCTGAAGAAATGGAGAAAATCATGGTCAGGAAAAACTCCATCAGTGAGTCAGGTATGATCAGTTTTAAATGTTCATTTTAAATACATTAAATGATCAAAAGTATAAATGTTTTGTTCATTTTGTTTGCAGATTGTGAATGGATACATAAATGATAAATTCACCAACAACAGACCACCAAGTGAACATTTCATTACTAACTTTTTAGCAGTGGCTGTGAACTGCTTGATGAAATGTGTATCAAACAATCAATGCCATTTCAAATTTCTTTATTCTATGATGGACAAAGAAAACATAAAAAATTTGAACTGGTGTCAGTTTGTATATGACTCACTTATCAAATGTCATGTTGATTGGAGAAAGCAGCAAGGCAAGGGGTTCTACAAAGGCCCTCTTCAATTTCTGATGGTATATTCTTAGATACAAAATGTTCATTTAAATTTAAATAAATGCACTTTTTTTTATTGTTTATGTTCTGTTCCATGTTTTCTTTTTTCTTGTAGTTGTTCTATTTTGATAGAGTTCAGAGGTTAGACAAAAGGCCTCCAAGAAAAATTCCTATCATATCTGCATGGAATAGAGACATGGTTCTTGAGAGGTTGAAGATTGAATTAGAATTGGGATTTGGGAGAGGGAAAATTCTACCAAGGATTGCTGCAGAAGTTGAAGAAAGTCCTAAGGTTATAAAATGATCACTTTTGTTAACATAAATGTTCATTTGTATAATCTGAAATGTTCAACTGCATAATTTTTAATATTCATTCATATAGGTTTTTATGGATGATTTTGTTTCCCTGGTAAAAACAACTTGTTCAAACCTGTCAAAGCTTTCTTCAAAATTGGTGAAGGCAAAGGATATCTTCCCTGGAAATGACTTGGTGAAAAAAGTTGATGAAGTTTTAGGAAAGGTGGTAGCTAGGGAACCATCAATTCTAAGCCAAGATGAAGAATTCTTTGGCAGTGAGGATTTCCTAAATGCACTTGCACAAGCTGAGAAGAATCTGATGCAAGGGTCTGAAAAGCAAACAACTGAGAAGCAAATGACTGGGAAGAAATTAACCAAAAAGGGAAAGGAAAAAGAACAAGAATATGACATCAGAAAAGCTTTCAGCTTGGGGTTGACTCCACCTTCTCCAGCCATTGGTAAATTCTAACTAAAAGAGACTATATATCCTAATTTTTATATGAAAAATTCTAAATTTGTGGTCTAAATTGTCCTAAACAGAAACAGGGCCCACCTTTTCAACACTTGGTGATATAATTGAACAACCAATAATTTCAACAAATGGTAATATGTTCATATATTTAATAATAATGTACATAAACTTAAGTAGAAATGTTCATTTCTAATTATTATGTGTAAATACTATTAACTTAGTGTATCTCCAAAATGATGATTTATAATACAGCTGAAGAAAAGGATGTGGGTAAAACTTCAGCAGCTTCAGAACAAAGAATTGAAGAATTTTCTAGAACTGGTATAATGTTCAATTAAAAAGTGTAAAATGTTCATTTACAAACAAGAAATATTCATTATTAATTGTATTTTTTTGTTAGACGCAGCAACTGGTTCAAAATTTGATGCTGACACTAGGTCAGATAATGAAGGATTGCCTAGAACAGGTATAATGTTCAATTATAAATACTCAAATGTTCATTTACAAAGAAATTATATTATATCTAATTAAATTTTTTCTTAGATGCAGGATCTGGTTCAGTGGTTGATGCTGACCCTAGGTCAGATGGTGGTGAAAAAAGTGATGATCCAAAAAACACAGTTGAAGGTGGAAAACAAAACAAGGAAGATGTTTTTGAAAAAACAAAAAATGATGAAAAAGTGGAGGGGTAAAATCCTGAAGACATGTCTTACTATTAGGGTTATGTAATGGTGTAGGATAAAATATCTAGATGGAACAATTTAACTTATGTTACTATCGTGTTGTAACTTGAAACTGGTGTTTCTCAAACTATTGTATGTGTGAACATTATTTTGTTGAATATGTAATATGAATGTGTGGTTTATGTTAAATCAATAGGTTTATGTTAAATCAATATCTTTCATTTTATGAATTGAAAATGATTCAGGGTGTTACATAAGAAGCTTTTATTTTATTAATATGTACTGACATTGTTTCACTTTTCAGTGAAAACAAGAAGATTGTTGCTTCATCCTCAAAAGTCACAAAAAGGTACATTATTTATATTAAGTAAATGTTCAAAAATAATAATGAACATTTTCATATACCTAAATGTACATTTGTGTTATGTAATATGACCAGGAATGATGATAAGAAAAAGTCAATTGCAGAAAAGAAGAAAAAAACTGAAAAGGAAAAGGTTGAAAGGTATAATTTCAAATTTATTTATATACACTCAAATGTTCATTTATGTTCCTCATAATTTTCTTAATTTAACAATATTTTATATTGAACAACAAGACCAAAACGCGAAAAGAAAACAATTCCTCCTGCTTTCCGATCTCCTTACTTGGTCAAGTACAAGGATCTGTTTAAAGATGAGAAAGCCATGAACCAAATTGCAGTAGACTTTGCTCTTGGTGGAAAAGATGAAAGGTAATTACTTACACTAATTAAACTTAAGGTTTAATATCTTTTATAAAAATATGTTCACATTCATATTATTAAATGTTCATAATGCAGTGCACTCTTATACTATGATGGCTTGAATCTCATCAATTGAAATGAAAACTCTTGGAGATGATGTTGAAGTGACAAATTGTGTCATAGATGGATGGGCAAGGTTTCTTAATCATAAAAAGCCGAGAAACAAGATTTATTTCTCAACAGTGCTTCATGTTAGTCTTTCTTCTTTTTTTATATTATTGATTCTATTTTCCTATGATAAATAATTGCTAAAAATTCATTTAACTTCTATATGTTTGTTTGTATTTCAACAGCACATTATGTGCACAAATAGAGTTTGTCAAGAAGGATCATCAATGAAGACAAGAATTAATGCCTTCATAGAAAGAATTGACAATGAACTGAAGTTGAATAAAATTGACAGCATTGTTGGATATAAACAGGTATTAATTCTTGTTTAATACAAATGTTCAATTACATTCAATATATTGTCCAATAACATTATATAATTTGTTCAGGTCTTCTTCCCAGTATCAACTTCTCAACATTTTTTTCTGTTGTGCGTCAATCATATAGAAGACAAAATTCATATAATTGACAATAGAAAACTACCAAAAAAGGTATCAGTCAAAGCAAAATATGAAGAACAACCAAAAATGATGGTGAGATAATATGTTCATTTATAGTTGACTACATGATCAATTATTTTTATTTATTGTTCATGTCTTCATCACAATACAAACTTCTAAACAATTTTTACTCTTTTTTCTATCAGTTAAAAGGATTGGCAGAGTACATGAAACACCTTGGATATCAAGATGCAAAAAGAATTGAAGACTACACAGTTGTTTTGGAAAAGATGAAATGGCGTAGCAACAATGACTATACAAACTGTGGAGTTTACATTATGAAGCATATGGAAACCTTCACTGCTGATCCTAATGAGAGTTGGATTTGTGATTTAAAACCAAACAATGTAAGAGTTATAAATGATCAATTATTTAAGATATAATATTCATTTATGAAACAGTAAAGATTGTTTAATTAAAATTTGACAATTCATTTTGTTCAACAGGTGGAACAAATTAGAAATCTAAGGCTCCAATACACAGCAGAACTGATGTTATTTGAAGAAAACACTGAATCAAGAGCAAATAGAAGGAAAGCTAGAAAATTTGCAACTTTGTAGTTTCAAATGTTCATTTACAACTATGTATATGTTCATTTCTTATATATGACTATTTTTTTTTTTTTAGAAGTAGACTTATGGATTTTATTTTAATATTATTGTAATTGATATTTCATTTTAATCTTTGAATGAAAGTTTTTTATATAATAGATCGAAAATTCAAAATTACAAAATAGTAATTAAATCAACATTACAAAAAAGTCTAATGTTTATAAAGTTCTGGAATACTAATTATTTATCTTTATTAGCCAAACGTTTAGCTACACTTGTATCAAAAAAGGCTAACAACCTATCATATTTAGAAGAAATCTTTTTAGAACCTAATTGAACATTTCTTGATTGAAGAATTGGAACACGAGCACCTTGATCATTTCTTTGAACTGTGGGAGGAGTAACTTGAACATTCTGAACAGGAAATCCTTGATCATTTATTTGAACCGTAGGAGAAATAACTTGAACATTTGTTGATTGAACATTCCTGGAGTTGGATATGATCATTTCTGGATTGGTGTTTGAACAATTCTGAGTTTGATTTTGAACATTCCTGGGAACAGTAGGTTGAATAACAACAGGAGATTTTGTTGACGCACTAGTATGAATTGGAACTCTTGGATTAATTTGAGAGTAAGTTTTAACACCAGAAGCACCTTTATTTGCAACAAAATTAGAACAAGGTTGAACAGCAGAAACACCTTCAAGATTTAAATCCTTTGCCTTTAAAAAAAATTAAATTGATCATTAATAAACCAGTATATGATCAGTTACAAACACTTATACAAACAAATATGGAAAAAAAAAAAACCTTAGCAATAGATGAAATATCAACATCAATAGATATGATAGATGAAAGAGAGCTTTCACCAGTAGCCTACAAAAAAACCAAAAAAAAATATAAAAAATAAAAAATTAAATAAAAAAAAATTATAATATAGATCATAAATGTTCATATACCTGATCAAAATCATTGGAAATACTATGATTTGATTCCTTAGAACTAGAAGGAATTTCTTCTACAACAGCTGATTTTAAGCCGACCTATATTTTTAAATTATAAAAATCAATATTAATAAAATATAAATAAAATGTTTTTTTTGGCACATTTGAATTTACCTGAGCCCGTTTATTGCTCAAAACAATCAATTCAATGGGATCACTAATAGAATTAGCATAAGTAACAGCACAACCGTTCTCATCAAGTTCCTATTTAAAAAGAAAAAACATAAATGATCATTTACGAAAACTGAAATGATCAATTTGAAAATATGAAATGATCATATACCTGTACAACTGCTTGCCCTATACCCCTTTTGTAAGGAGTGTACAGAGACTTTTTCCTCTTGAAATTACCCTTTGCCTTGTTACACTGCTTCTCCAAGGTACTCTTAGGCCTTACATTCCTCTCACCTTTAGGCCTAGCTTTTGGAGGATTCTTGATCTCAAGATCAACAATTTCAACCTCTTTAACAGGTTCACTAAAGTCAATTACACCTGATACACTCTCAACCTTTTCTTTTAACAGATTGAAATAACACTCAACCTCTGCCCTTGCATTCAAAGAATTCTGACAACTTGTTATCAACTTAACAAACTTTCTGATTGTTTGTGACCTCCAAACACTAGTAGCCACAACATTTGTCCTCAAAATAGGTTCTTCAATACCATGACTACACATGGCAGCCTTTGTCCATCGTTTCATTATATACTCTTGTGGAATATTACGCACACAATGCAAATGATATACTCGAAGAGAATGAGAACAAAGTAAACCAGTCTCACTAAAGTACATGCATGTGCAACAAATTGCATGTGTTTCCTTATTAAAAACAACTTCATGCTTAATTATATCCTTCCCAGGCCTCCAAAGAAGATATGAATATTCTGGAAAACGCAAACCATTATCAACATGATCATAAGCTGTCCCCCTAATGAACTCCTCTTCAAAAAGAACATAAGCTTGAATAGTGTACAATGATCTTGCATGAACTAATATACCAATATTAGCAAAAGCTAGGTGCCTATTACCCCTCAGAGTATTGTAATCTCTTGCACCTTCCTTACTTCTCCACTCAGAAATGACATCAAGAAAAACATGATAAAAATCACATAAACCTTGAGTCTTATTAAGACGTTGTGAAACTGACTTATTAGTAGTTTCACTACGTTGAGAAGACAATATACCACCAGACCAATACTTCTTAGAATAAGCAGGACACCACATTTCCTTTATTTTATACAAATCACATAACCAATCATCATTTTCACATTTGTATTTATCACACATCCTGTATAACAGAAATGATCATATATTAATTTAAAAATGAACAAAATATAAATTAAAATATGTACATTTGTGTAAAGAATAATGATCATAAACAATATGGACACTAATAATATTATGATAACATACATAACAAAGTAAATTGTATGATCATATGTAAAACACTACATGTTCATATATATATCACATAATAATCAAATATATCACATAATAAAAATAAAAAATAAATACAAAAAACAATAATTTACCTTTTCCAGAAATATTCAAATTCAGCAGGAGTTTCACAATACTTCAAAAGATATCCAAACAAATCTGTAAAGCCTTCCAAAGCTCTCAATGCTCCAATGTGTTTCTTAGAATTTTGTTCAAGATGCCATACACATAAACGATGATGAACAGTTGAAGGAAAAATGTTTCTTATACCCGCTGCAATCGCTTGTGCTTGATCAGTCATAATTGTAATGGGACTTTTCCTCCCCATTGAGTGCAAAAATGTATCAAACAACCAATCAAAAGACTCGGTGCGCTCATTAAGAATAAAACCCATACCAAACATGACATTGTTACCATGATGGTTCATCCCAACAAATGGAGCACATATCATTCCATATTTATTAGTTCTATAAGTTGTATCAAAAACCAACAAATCTCCAAAGTAATGATAATCTCTCATCATCCTACCATCACGCCAAAAAAAACTAACTAAAGCACCACTATCATCTTGTTCAAAATCATAATAAAAATCTGTCTCATCCACATGTCTCTTGGCAAAATATTTAATCAATTGGTTACCATCACATCCTTCAATTTGGGCAGCTTTTTCAGATGACAATGCATTATAAGCATCAGAAGCAGTAAAACAAAGATTAGGAGATCCCCCAACCTCCTTCTTTAGAACCCTCAAAGAATCAGTAACTTTGACTCCACTCAATTTCATTGTTGAAATGAAAAGAAGCTGCTCTTTATTCACATCTCTTTGAGACCTTATCAAATGCCTTTTTTCAGGAGGAATCATAGCATGATTATGAACCATTTCATGTCTTGTACATGTATAGACCCCTAAATGATCAATATGAAACTGCACAAAAGCTAAACAACCAGTTCGATGATCCAACTTCTCATAAATCCTTTTATTCTTACACTTATTATCTTTGAATCCCTCATTACAACAAACAAATCTTTTCATCAAAAAAGAATCATCTCTTCTTCTCTTACTCTTCCCAATTCGAATTCCAAAACCTTTCCTAAAAGCATATTCATTATACGCTTCGAAAGCTTCATCTTCAGATTTAAATTCTTTATCCTTTAATTCAGACTGTTCTGCTTCTAAATACATAATATCATCATTTTTTTCCACTGCACAATATACAATTATAAATGATCATAAAGAGTTTCATGAATGAACAATAACAAATAAGTAAAATGTTCAATATCAAAACAGCACATGATCAATTGCAAAAAGAATTTCAGCACATAATATTTTGAACAATATTTTCATTATTTACCACTACACATAATATCGATATAAAAATGTAAAAATAAATGATCAAAAATGACTTTAAGACTGAACATAAACACATTAGTAACAATGAATAAGAAAACATAAACGATTAATTGAAAGTATAATCTACAAAATATACGACAAAAACACACAATTCTAAAACACAGAGAAAACAACAAATGAAACAACAAATGAAGCAACAAAATGTTCATACAAAGTACAACAATCCAAAAACGTTCATCATAATGTAATCAAAGTAGTAAATTCAAAAATCGAAAGTGAATAATAATACATCAATTAAGTTCAAATTAACAGAGCATTATAACAGAACAAATTAGGGATAATTAAAAATTGAAAAAATTATGATCACAATTACTCACATTGTTGCACAAACGAATCAACGAAACGAAGTCCAGAAGGAAACACACGCTCGCAATCGCGATCAAAATCAACGCAATCTCCAGATGCAGAATTCGCCATTGATGATCGGTAACAATTAACGAATTCGTTCAAAAAATCAAATGAAGAAGATGAATTAGCGAGAGAAAAATGTAGATCTAAAATGGAGGTTGGTTGATCAATTGAAGAGAGAGAAAAAATAGGGTTTAAAATCATATATATACATAAATTGAATAATAAGAATCAAAGGAAAAAGGAAAAAAGAGGAAGAAAAGAAAAAAAGAAAAAAAGGAAAAAAAAAAAAAAAAAAAGGAAAGAATCGCAAATACCAGCTACAAAACGACGTAGCATAGGGGGGGTGTAGGGAACACACCCTACACTAGGGTGTAGGGTAAAATTTTCACTCCTCCTACCTTATTAATCAAAATCAAATAAACAAATGAATCACTGAAGCCCACGATTAAAATAAAGCCCAAATTCTGAAATTCACGAATCACGATACACAATTCACGAGCACTCCCCAGGCCCCAACTGAATATCACTACCAAACAAGATAAGATCACAAGATATTTTCCACATCCCAGAATATCCTCCTTTACCATAGTTAACTTAACCTCACCTACCCTTAACCATAGTTAAACGCACTCCAACAGTCCAACTTCACAAAACCCATTTCCCCAAAACCCTACTTTTTCTCCCTATATAAACCGTCACATCACCTCTTTCATTTCACAGTCGCTCTCTATTTCCTCCTTTTTTTTTTCTCACAAATCAAATTTAGGGTTTCGTGATTTTCTCTCTCCTTTTCCTCAAAAATGTCTGCTGATGCCGAGTACAGATGCTTCGTCGGAGGCCTTGCATGGGCCACCGATGACCAAGCTTTGGAGAGAGCTTTCTCTCAGTACGGCTCGATCGTTGATTCGAAGGTTTCTCGTTAATCTCGTAAAAAAAATGATGAAAAAAAAATTGAATATAATGATAATCGTAATTTTGACTGATTAAATTGTTACTTTGATTGATTCGTCTGAAATGATTACTATTCCTGTTACTTTGATCTGCTACTATTGTTACTTGATCTGTTCTTTTTGTGATGATTTCCGGAAACGGTATGTTCTTCGAAAGACGAACAATCATTTTTTTATGAATTTTTTTTCGGTGATTTTCGTAGATCTGGTGTTGATTTTTGTGGTGATTTTTTTTTAATCAGGTGATTAACGACAGAGAAACCGGCAGATCAAGAGGATTTGGATTTGTGACCTTCGAGAGCAAGGAAGCTCTAGACGCTGCAATTGAAGGAATGAACGGTCAGACACTCGACGACCGTACAATCACCGTAAACGAGGCTCAGTCTCGCAGCGGCGGAGGAGGCGGCGGAGGTGGCTTCCGATCCGGAGGTGGAGGAGGATATGGAGGAGGCGGCCGTCGTGAAGGCGGTTATGGCGGAGGAGGCGGAGGAGGCTACGGAGGTGGCCGTCGCGAAGGTGGTGGTGGCGGTTACGGCGGCGGAGGAGGTCGTCGTGAAGGTGGTTACGGCGGTGGAGGCGGTGGAGGAGGTTACTCCCGTGGAGGTGACGGAGGAAGCTGGAGGAGTTAGATTTACCGACCGTTGTTTAAATGACCGTCGTTTATTGTGTTTTGTTAACCGGCTTTTAAAAATTAGGCTGGGTTTAAAGTTCTGGTTATCGTTGAGTTTAGATGTTATGGTTTAATTAAGGGTGTTCTAGAGGATGAATGATAGGTGGGTTACTTTGTAGTGAGGATGTTGCTGTTAGTTTGTAATTAAATCAATAGTTTCAGCCTTGGAAGTAATGAAGAAAAAACAGGAAATGAAATTTGAATGCCGAATATTCTGTGTGTTGAAATTAAGCGCTTTTGTTTTTTTTTGCTTTGGTAAGATTGATTTCGGATAAAATTGGATTTCAAAAATTTCATGGACTTTTCACCTAATTCGAGTAATTTTTAGTGGACGAAAATATGATTGTGTCAACATTTGGTTAAAAAGTAAATGAAATTCCAAATAAAAGTGGTTACACGATTTTACGTGATAATTTGGGCTAATCTGAATTTTTTTAATGGTCAGTTTTGTACCGTTGTTGGACGTAAGAAAGTAAAACAATGCAGGACGAGTATAAAACTTTATAATTCTCGAAATCACAATCGCTCTTTTTTATTTTTTATATTTTTATTATTTTTGTAAGAAAATCACAATCTCATGTTACAAAGCAATCCGCGGAGGAAATTTAAATTTCCAAAATTTCCAAAAATCTTTTTTTTTAATGAATCTTTCCAATAATCTTATTAACGTAATTTTATTACCATTTACTATCTGTTACACACAATTCCTTTTTATAATTGCACCACTTGTTATGATTGCACTATTTACAAGTATTATGTGATTTTATTGGATTTTCAATCAAATACTTTAGTCGATGATCACAAAAATGGTGTAATTGTAAAGAGCTGATGATGTGACAAATTGACAATAGAAAGACGTGTAGGGGTACAAGAAAAAATAATGTTAAAGTCAAGTCTTTCAACTTTGATACTCCTTAGATTATTAATATGTGGTAATTATAGTCTCACGTAGAAGCTAAGGAGAAGAGCACACATTACTTAACTGAGTATGTGCTATTGCTAATTTGCTACTCCGTACTATTTTTATTTTGATCTATGTCACGTCATTATTTTCATACGGAGTGACAGACTTAGGAGGCTTTGATGTAGTAATTTTAGATATAGGAAATGAATTTAATTAAGTGTGTTTATTTCTAGAAATTTATTGTGGGTTAAAAGTAATAGATATCTTTTTTGGAGGGTAATAAAATCCTTCAATTTGTTACCCTTAACCAATAGTGGAAACAAATACGTTCTCTTACCTAATCACAATCTTCTCAAATTGTTTTCATTCCACTACGATACCAAACATATAGTAAATGTAACATTTATCATTATGTTTTCCATACTTATTTGAATCCTTTCCGTTTCATTTATATCAAATACTCCCAAAGTGTTCTTTGTCTTAATGTAGTTTCCATTAGTTTTGTTCATAGTTCTTATCAGTAATTTGAGTAATTCGTAACAAAAACAGTGTACACAATTCCTGCAATCATGCCATGTGAGAAAAATGAGTAATAGAGCAAGTAGCTCATGTGCTTTCATCGAATATGCAAATTGCTCTGCATTCGAATTCCCCCACATTACAACTTCGTCTTTCAGCCATGTGTTTAATAAAGCAAGTGGCCCAATTGGGCTGACTGAGTCCATCTATGTGTAGCCCACTGCCTACGCTAGACCAATCAGCAAGAAGGATAGCCCATTTTTGTCTAACAACAACCAGCCAACTTGTTTGCGGTTTTGGGCTCGTACATCATATTCAACTTTGGCCCCCAAACAAATCCAATAAGAGTCAAGAAAGCCCCATTTATCACCTTGATATTGATGGTATGTTCTGATTTACTAAATATGAGAGGTGAAAATTAGAAACCGAACTAAATTACATTAATTAGAGCTGAATTGAACCGAAAATAAGTTGAAGAGAACAAACTTAAGTGGTTAAAACAGTAAATAAATAAATAAAACTACACTTAAGGCGACATTATTTTAAATTATGTATTAATAAATGTGGGATCCACTTTTATTATAAAAAATGTTAATTTATATATTTTTGCCACCTTTTGTTAATCAATGTGATAAACTCGTATTTTATAGTCATAATTAGTTGGTAAAATATCATCAAAAAATAAAATAAAAAATAAAGACAACTAATCAATTTATTCATTGATTGATGCATGCTTTTCAATCAATCCCAATACATATCTACAGAGTAATCCTAACAAGATTAATAAATTGTCATGGTTTCATAGAAACGTGATAAATCAAAGGCTTAAGACAAGTTTGTAACACTATCTATTTTGTTAAATTGGACAAATGATCAATTTGCTAGTATACTTTGTCTTTTTAGGTTCTTAAGTGTGAATCAGGTATTAATCGATCCATATGTAATACTAGTCTTCAGATTTTGGCAAATCAAAAACTTACGAGTAGTGTGATTGGATCATTTGGGTTGTTATAATCATTTTTGTCTTTTTAATATTCTTTGGACAGATGTCGGTGTATATTTTCCATACCCTATAACACTGCAGTAAACCATTCAAATGGTTGGAATCTTTCACCTTGTCTTTAAATTGGCAATTTAGGCGTTTGTGTTCAACAACACTATAAGGTCACATGAAGCCTTGTGGCGACCTTCTAGTGGTCAGATCGTACGAAACAAGATGCATCCCTGATCATCGATCCAAGAGTTTTCAACACGGGTCCCTAATCTCCAAATTGGTCTCATTTCATGTATTATAGCTTCATTTTATGGAAATTGAAAAATATCGGTTGGTTAAGGTAGTCCTTGTATATTGTAGTGCCAGCATTATTTTCATTTTCCAAATAAAAATATTAGGAAATGTACTACATGTCAAGAAAAATATTAGGGAATGTACTACATGTCATACACAATAGTGTGTCGCTTGTGCCAATTTAACATGGTTTTGGTGTCAAATAGAGAGGAATAGCTAAAGTAGTTAAAACTGTCTCTTATTTTCTTTTTATTTATTTATTTATTTTTGTTAGGCTATTGTTATGTCAAGTCCCTATCTATTACAATACTTTGATCAAAGAATACGAATACGGATAATTTACAATTAAATAACTATACAAAATAATTCGTACACAAGATAATAAAAAAAAAACTTTTTTTTAAAAAAAAAAAACAATGAAAGTGAGTATCTCTTGTAAATGGTGAAAGGGTCAATTCCAATATCCCATCAGGCCATCACTAAAGATGATGATAACGATTCATCATTCATGGGTGACGAGCGTAAAGCCAAAGCTATGATAAGATAACCTAGATATTTTTATTCCCCATAATAATAATATCTTCCTTAAACCATGGTTAACACAACTTGCGTCACATCTTAACCCTAGCCCCTCTAACCCTACTCTCTCCTTCTATTTAAACACCTCTTCATTCTCATCCCTTCTTCGTGCTCTTCATTTTCCCCTCTTTTCTTCTTCTCAATCAAATTTTAGGGTTCTTCATTTTCTCTCTCTAAAAATGTCTGCTGATGCCGAGTACAGATGCTTCGTCGGTGGCCTTGCGTGGGCCACCACTGATCAAGGATTGAGCCAGGCTTTCTCTCAATTTGGAGATATCGTTGATTCGAAGGTTTCGTGTTACTATATCTCATCAAAAAAATAGGAAAAAAAAATCGATGATTCTGTTACTTTGATTCGAATAATTCTGTTTACTTTGATCTGTTACGTTACTATTGTTACTTGATCTGTTCTTTTATCATGATATCCGGCAACGGTATGTCCATTGGAAGAATGAACGATCAATTTTGATTTCTTGATCCAATTTCGATTCAATTGTTGTTGATTTCTGACATTTAATTTTTAATTTTTCCAGGTGATCAATGACAGAGAAAACTGGCAGATCTAGAGGATTTGGATTTGTCACATTCGACACCAAAGAAGCTCTTGACGCTGCGATTCAATCAATGAACGGATCTGAGCTCGACGGCCGTCAAATCACCGTCAACGAGGCTCAATCTCGCAGCGGCGGCGGAGGAGGTGGAGGTGGTGGATACCGCGGCGGAGGTGGCGGCGGAGGATACGGCGGTCGTCGTGAAGGAGGATACGGCGGAGGAGCGGCAACCGTGGATACGGAGGTGGCGGCGGTGCGGCGGTGGATACGGCGGAGGAGGTTACGGTGGAGACGGCGGATACGGTGGCCGTCGTGAAGGCGGTGGTGGTTACGGCGGAGGTGGTGGTGGTTACGGCGGAGGTGGTGACCGATACTCCCGTGGTAACTCTGATGGAAACTGGAGGAATTAGGGTTGATTTAAATGATGGTTGTTATTGTTTTCTAGTTTACAGTTTTTTTTACCTTTTGGGGTAAAAAAAAAGGTTGATCTGTTTTAGTGTTACTGTTTGGTTGTTCTGAGTTACTGTTCTTGGATTACTCTGTTACTGTTTCTGGGTAACTTGATTTTGATTGGTTACTGAGTGAGGGTGTTACTGTTAGTTTGTAATTAAAACGATAGTTTCAACCTTGGAAGTAATGAAAAGGATTGAATACCAAATTCCATTATTGTTCCTTTGTTGAACTTTTTTTGCTCTTTATTTTTTGGTATTTGCTCTTTCTGTTGATCAAATTGCTAATCATTTTTTAATTTTACTAGTTGTAGAGATACAATTATTTCATATACCACTAATTTTTTGTTAATTTGTAACCCAATTTTTTTAACAATTTACTTTTTTTAATTAAAAATTGCACAATTTTGATTTTATTGGATGAGATAGAGATCATGCATTTGAAAATTCAAAATTATCATGCATGATCATGTTTTGTGGGGCCTAAATTTATATTTAGAATAATTACATTTCTTAATTTTAAATGAATATACAAATTAGTGGAACAAATTAAAAAAAACGGTAGTATATAATACATTTGAAAACTTTAATGATCGGATTTTGTGTGGTGTTGTAGATGCATATAACACTATATGGACTAAATAATTACGCGTAGTTATTTTTATTAAGGCTAAAGTTGTATTGACTGATTCAAAATAACAAATTGATAGCCAAGTTTTGTAAGGATTGGTGTTAGGAGTATATAATTAGCAAGGGTCATGCACTAAACGTTCTCAAACGATACGATTGGTTAGTTGGCATAGTTAGCATGTTGGTTTCCGCAAACATTGGCCAATAATTAGGGGAAAAAGAGATGAAACGAATGGTTTGCAATTAAATTTCTAATATAGCCTTTGAATTGTCCTATTTCTCATCCAAACTTTCCGATATCTTTCCTACTTTCTCTAAATTGTTGCAATTGACATCACATTATTTCCACTTGTGTAGTTGTAATGTTTTTATCTTTTGCATTATTTAAGGGGTAACAATTTGTCTTGTCGTGGCAAAAGGAGTTAGTTTTACACTTATAATAGTGTACGATAAGGTTGGAATTTAGAGTGCATGCATAATAAAGTGAAAATAGATAAATGGTTTAAATACTTATGGATAAGGAATCCAATAGGATTTGTCGTTTAATATTAAGGTCCTGTTTTTTATTTGAGTGAATTGGGCCTAAAGTTGAGAGTACTTGCTATATTAAACTAAATTCACGAGTTATTTGTTGTCAAAATATGTCATCTCAATTCTATATTGATTCATGTTCTGTATTATAAAGTTTGTCAACGTGTTTGATAAGATTGAAGTTACTATAAATTAGATTGCAAAAAACTTGAATAAATGGGCCTACTAAATTTAGAAAATACAAAGGAATGTACATAGCTAAATGAGACTAAGGCAATACATAATGTTGTGCGATTGTACTAATTGGATAAAATAAGTACCAAGCTAATAGTGGCATGAAGTGTGAAAGAACACGAATTTGAACTAGCCGTGGTTATTTATCGCTTCAACTTGTACTTTGTATTAGATATGCCAATATTATTAATAAAATTGAACCATCATGGATTACTACTTACGTAAACTAATTTTTATACGTAATTACGTAAATTAATTTACTTAAAACTAGACTAGTGGCAAGTGTCGTCGATCGATAGGCGATTTGAGTTTACCAATAGCCAAGCTCATCTTGAATCATTATCTCACTCTCAATTGTCAATTATGAGAGCTCTCATTACAAAAGAAGATTAGGAAGGTATCAACTTCCAATTTCAAACTTCCCGCGATTTCTTTCTCTTTTCACCCCCATCAAATCTTTAATCAAATTCGGTCCTCATTTGATTCAAATAATCTCAATACATTGTTATTAATCAATAATCATTCCAGAGTTATTCGGTAATATTTCCTCAAACCCTAATTTTTAAAATCGTTGTTAAGTTTTGCAAATTTTTATAATTAATTGTATATATTATGATAATTATGCACCAAAACTTTGTAAATTGTAATGCTTAATTGTATAAAAGAGTTATTCGGTAATATTTCTTCAAAAAAATTTAAAGTCATTGTTAAATTTTGCAAATTGTTATGCTTAATTGTATATATTATGATAATTATGCACCAAAAGTTTGTAAAGTGTTATGCTTAATTGTATAAACTATGATAATTATGCACCAAATAGTAGGGAAATTCACATTCAATCTGATAATCTATTATACAATAGGAATAAAGAAGATTGCAGATTAACTGTTTGATACAATGCTACATAGAAAATATAACACATAAATTAGAAAAACCAGTACTGATAGTAGCTGTAATTTACTTGGGGCTAGCTATTAGATCAAGTCATTAATAATTAATCGACTAATTAATTGTTTTATTCGATGAGATAGAGATCAGCAAAAGAGCGCGCCACTAGATTCTTAATCCTGCATAAAACAACAAAGATTAATGTTAGAAACATAGTTGTTAGTTACTATTTAGGGAAAACAAGTGGGATTAGTTGCTATAACTTAATCAATTATTGTGGGTATCTAAATAGTAATCTGTTGTCATTATACGTTGCTTGCGGATTAATATAATGTTTTTTCGATGCCCGATAATAATAGTTGCATAATTGAATCTGTAAGATGCCTTTCCATTACAGGGCCAAAATTTCGATTCCTTTTGTAATTATGCTTTTGTCCCTGCTTATGGATATATTTCGATTTAAACAGTAATTATTTTAACATTCATGGTAGTTTATGACATTATGCATTGATTTTGTGTTAGTATTAAGTATGCTGCTATGTAAGTACAATCATTTTTTTCGAAGAAAGTCTTAGAGTGGGCAAGTAGGTTAAAGGGTCTAAGTTTTGGGCTCTTATAAGGTAGAATTATGATTAGTTGTTAAGTTAGGCAACCTAAATTGGAGTAGTTTTAAATCCCATATGATGTTAATAAGTCTTCTTGGTAGGTCTATTTTGATTTGACAATGATCTAAGACTAACTTTTAAGTGACTTTGTGTGTGTGTGTGTGTGTGTTTTTTTTTTTGTGTGTTATTTTGAATAGTTTCATATCTTGAGTTGCTAACTATGGATACAAAAACTTATTCATAGATGTACAAGTCAGATATGAATTAAGAAACCGAAAACAAACAGAGAACTCTGATTTGTCTAAGATACAATGGGGGAGACTAGATTAAGATTATATTATACCTTTGCTATTCAGACTCGAGTCTCCATTGGTTAATTTCCAATATTTTTGTAGTTAGGAAAGGGCACTTGGCCGGACTCAATGTTTTTGATGTCCTCCAGGAGATCTTCATAATGCCGCTTAACCTCTTCAGCAGTTTTCCCACCAACTGCTCTGGCTATATTGTGCCAGCGGTCAGGAGTTTCTTTGTCATAGACAGCCAAGGCCCTTTCGAAGGCCTTGTTTTGCTTTGCGGTCCAGGATGATCCCATACCACGCGAGGACATTGATCCTGTTGCCATTTGTTTAGGTTCAAGAAGCTAGAACGGGGTTGTTTGGGATTATTGAGTATGCTACGAACCTGTTTTTTAGAGATATTTTGGAGAATGAAGAGTAGCACTTGGGAGTGAGAAGCAGTAAAAATAAGCAGATGATATGGTATGAGCTAGAGTTGGCAATGCCTGCTCTTTATAGAGGTGTAGAGCTGAATGTGGGGTAATGACAGTTGGGCCAAGTTATTTTCCAAAAGGGCCCTAAAAAAATAGAGTGAAATTTCAGTGATTTGCTTCCCTAGGAACCACAGGAATATGCTGGAGGAAGGGAAAAAGGATTACCCAGGTAGAAGACTCAGTATCTCTCATTACTACTAATCATCTTGCTTTCTTTTTCACTCTGCTTATCGTGTTAAGATCTATAGTGCAGTTCATTTTCCCATAAACTTCTAGCCAAGTTTCTATGATTTTCTATGTGTCTTTGTTTATGTACTCCAAAGTCTGTGATCTTTGACTAATAGACAGGGGTAATAGCTAATCACACAGGAGAAGTTAGGTCTGTATGAAAATAAACCAAACAGTTACATTATCTTTAACTCTTATCATGCTGTTCAATGGGATGCATCAGAAGAGAGCGCGTTTGGTTTATGGAATTCATCAATGTCTTTAATTAGTTGTTAAGATTATACTTTCAGGAGGGCTTAATTTGGAGCCAACTAAGTTTCAAGTATGTATTTCCTATCTTTCAGGATTTTTATGCAGAGTACTTTCCTGTTTTATTGTGTGGGCCTGGAAAGATTCACCATCACTCCACCTTCACCAGTAAGAGTGAGCCACACTAGCTACAAGCCAGTTAATCATATGCACTAGTATTTTCTTTTGTCAAAGAAGCCATCGTGTAGAAAATCTTTTTCAGTGCACCTTATTGCAGGTGATCTTTTTTTTGTACTTTGTCCTTAACAACATTCCAAGATCTTTAGCTGGCCAACTTAGTCCGTACAATGATTTCCTTAGGAATCCTTTACCTCATACTCTTAATAGATAATGTCATCAAGAGTAACTTGCTAACTTGCTCTTTAGGTAGTTTGGTTGGAACAGTAGATTTTTTTTTTCTATGTGTATTCTAGTATAGTTGATAATGAGGCCGTTTATGTATTTAAGTGAGCAACACTTTTGATTGTCGTTGCAATAACATACTTCATGTGATTAATGTATATTTGGCTAGTATAAAATTTGTACCAAGAACTTCCACAGAGAATATGTTAGTTGATCTTATAAAAATTGTTGGGTGGTTGTGATATCAAAATATATCATCAAATTTTGTTGGATGGTTGGGATGATAATGTGTTAACATATACTCCCTCCGTCCCTTTTTGTTTGTTCCATTTGCCATAAATGGATATCCTTATTAATTGCCCCATTCCATTTTGGGCCATGGTTATTACTCACAAATATTGACTTGGGACTATCCCATCACTATCTACCTTACCATTGGTAAAGTAGTTTTGTGGAATGGAGCAAACAAAAGGGGACGGAGGGAGTAGTATGTTTCACCCCTTTTTTCTGTTTGCAGCTGCAAACATGTTAAGCCTTTTGTTGTTATCCCACTAAGCTTTTAAATTTGATGTCTTAAAACATAGATTAATGCATTTCCGAAGCGGATACAAAAGTCATGCTCTCATATCATGAAATTTGTTGATGCTTTCCTTTCCCTTCATATCATGCAGATCAATTCCTCAGTGTGATTTCTACTTTCTAGGAATATGATTTTTATTTTGATCACTGATCTGGTTGTTGATTTATTAAATTATCTACAAGCTCAACATTACTAACTCTGTTGGTGCACAGACCATTATTTGGTGATGTTATATTGTTATCCAATATTCTGTTGTAAAAATAGCCTGAAATCACAATCATTAAATTATCTTTTTCATTGTATAATTTTGCAATAAGTCAAGCTGCTGCTGAATCAATTTTCTTTGTCGTTAGCTGTCGCTATGGGGTGGATTATTGGAGCCAGTTGTGCTTTCCCAAACTCGTATTCAAGTTATATGATGGTAAGTTCAAATTTATAGCTTCTTTTAACTATTTATAGTCATTCCTCTTCTATAATGAAAAACAATTCAGAATATAACCTCTTACAGCTCAGCATAAATTTTAATGTGGGTTTGCCCATCCCCCTGTCTTTTACCTCTAACTAGGTTGTGCTGATCTAATTCCATAATCATATCCCAACAGCTACCGCGATAGTCATGGGCTACCAAATCGTACGGACACCTAATGGAATCTCTCTTAGGACCATATACAAGTATGTGGAAGCTCTTTTAGCCTACTTGCACTCTTTTGGCGAATTTGGTCTTAATTTCTCTATTAAAAGTGGACATTCTATTAAATGATTCCAGATTAAGCTAGAAAATGATAGTGATAATATCCACCTTATCTCAAAGATTTTGCTAACTCTTCCCTCGGTAATTAGTTTATAGTTGCACCACTTTATATTAAAAGTTTGTGTAGGATATATTGGCAAAATATTCAGTGTTCCATTAAGTGAGTTCTAACCAGACAATAATAGTTCTGCACCATCTTAAATGTAATGTGTGGCTGGACCATATTATTGATTAATGGCTAGGATTTTGGAGATCACAGCTATAGTGGTGACAAAAGTACTTCCAAATTATTAGCAATTCTATTCTTGTTCACCATAAGCTTAAGCGACTAGATTGTATAAGAACAGAAACATACTAGGGCTTCAACTTAAAAAAATTTAGCAAACAAAGCTGATGAGTAATTGAGTCATAATGGGTAGGTTAACATTGTATGAGAATTGTCATGTTCTTAGAGTCAATTGTTTTGATAACCGAATATTTCAGTCCATAAGGGACCATCCATATTAGGAAGAACCAAATTATCAATATGAGAGGTGGTAGTGAAAAGATTACTAGATGAGGGAAGTCTGGTGATGGGAGAGTTTGGAGTTATCTTGCAAGTTGGTCGGATGAGCACAAGTCTAGGTGTTCTGTGGGAATAAAACGTCCACTACACTAAACCGAAATCTTTTTCATTACATTTAGAATCAGGATATGTACTCAGGGAATTGCAAGTTGTAGGCTTTGAATGGATGATGATTCATAGGGTTAGGATGCTTGTATGTCTACATCCTCTTGAATACAGTTCCTCTAGGGTATGGTTAACGATAAATGTTATGATTTATGTAAAGTTGAAACTCTGTAGGTAAGGGATACATCTACACTGCTGAGATCAACAAAAATGGCAAATGATGATGTTGTAGTTTGCTCTCCTCTATCAACAATGACATGGTAAGGTTGTATTTTGTTCAACCAAATATATGTTCATGGGTATAATGCTATTTGGATTTTAAATACTCATGCATAAGAAGTGGAACCTTTTCGGTTCATTTAAGTTACAATCAGTTTAAATATACTAGATTACTAGATTATCGTCCCAAACTTTGCCCCTCATTAGATCAAAGTTGCCGCTAGTAAAGGATATTTGACATACATTGTTAAGGTCTAGCAATCATCAACTGTTTATAAGTTGTTTCTTGCAATATTCTAGGTATTTCATATTGCAGCACAAATATGCATATTTTCAAGGTGGGAGGGAATCCTTATCATCCTGTCCATTTCATTTAGATGCTAATGTATAAGGAATTATGGATTCCTTCCACATCTCTGCTTTCCTTATGAAATTTGTGTTTTTGGCTGGTATCAGCCCACATCCCTTGTAAATTAGATGGCTTACATTGATAATTATATTTATACAAGTATGTGGCCGAGCGTGGAGACTATTAGGATGTATGCATGAGTTATATGAAGGAACAATTTAGACTAGTGCATATTCTTCCATGTTTGGGGCAAGGGACCCAGAAACCTGAACTTTACAGAGAACTTCCACTCATTGTGGCTCTTCAATAGCACTAGGATGAAATGCTGATACCTTTGAGGCGAATCTTTGACAGGAATTTCGGATGCTATATCTTGATTAGTGGATTGAGTTGAATAAAAGGGGTGAATAATTATACTGTAAAACCTGCTTTATTAACACTCTACATTTGACAAGTATAGAAGAGTCTTTACATCAGATATCTGCTGATGCAAGTGTATTTACTGTCAATAAAGTTGCATCGATATTTGTAGCGTGAAAAGTATTAGATTTTTCTCATATTTTTACATTGATTTCATAATAGTAATAAGATTTGGGTATCCGGAGGTTTAAGGTGATAATATTCTTCGAATTTCAGAAGGGTGCAATCTGATTGGTTGCTCCAAAGCTATCAGTGGTCCATTTACATGAAAAGCAAGGTAATCGGCTTAAATCATGTGATTAATTATGCTTCTTCCATAATGACTGCAAAGTGCTATCTGATGCTTAAATTATCCTTCTATTTCAGCCAATCAGATCTCATTTTTCAAGCTTAAGATGAGGTCAGGGAATTAAGATCATAATTGTTCCATCATTATCTGTGATTATACTCACAGAAGATTTGGGTTGACAATTAATTTTTGATGCTAAATTTGGATAGACAAATATGAGTTGATGTGGGGCATGGATTCTTCTTGCACCTCTAAATTGTGAAGTCACTCTCATAATAAAAGTGCTGAAATAGGCATTCTATTGTGTCCTTTAAACTTTAAAGTCCTGTTCATTCTTCTTGGAAAAAAGCTTGAGAGTAGACCTTCAACCTTTTAGCCCTCCCCTGCTTTTTTATCTTTTGTTTTTCCTCTCCCTTTTCCATGTTACAAGAATTATTCTCCTCGGGAACGTATGTAATTTGTGATGGCTACGTAGTCCATGTCTTTCCTATATGGCTTAAACAATCAAGTTGTTGCAATGCATGTTCAGGATTCATTGCTGCTGCTGTGTGCCTGGATTCTGATTCGCCTGAAATTTACACTTCTTTTGTTGCAGGTGGGATGACGATTTGGGACTTGAGTTTTACCTGCTAGAAACCTTGAGCTGATCATAGGCCAAGATGCATTCAAGTAGAGACGGCCACAGGCTGTATTCTATTCACTTTGTACTATTTGCTGCTGGATAATTTTGACAGACCTAATCCAAATTGGGCTGAGATGATCAGTTGTTACTGGCAGGAAACGAGGTTTTCACTCAGATAACAACAGTTCATGAATGTTATAGGTTATAGTACAACTTCACCATCATCTTTTGCCCATGTGTTTGGTAATTTGTACATTATAATTGCTGTCAAACAATGAATGATTGAAATGTTTTCAGTCATTTGATGCTCTGCTGCAAGCGCGCTAAATTTACAGGCTGATGACCTAGGTGCAGTTTTCTGTGATCCTTCGGAACTAATGGTTGTTATTCCTACGTTGATATCTATTCATCCTTGTTATACCACATGCTTTGTTCTGACATTGGCAGTTCGCCTTATCTTAACTCAAAAGAATATAAATTCTTGTTTTTCATGTTCTTTCTATGAAGGTTGTTGCCTTACTACTGAAAAGATGATTCAGATGTATAGAGCTTTATTTCATGAATTTCAACTTGATTATCAATTTTATGCTAACTTATTGTGGAATATTAAAAGAAATGTTATTCCCCCTGGTTTAAAATCGCAATAAGTCACTCGTATCTGAAGTAGTGAAGATCGATACTGTTTCATACATAGTGTGGAGTTAAGACTTTGCCAAACTCATAATTTTCCATAATTTAAATCCCGTCTAAATCACTAACTCTATACAATATACACCAAAAAAATTTAAAATTTCCATTCCAAAAACAACTTTTTCCCCTTCCGAAACAGCCTGGAATTACAATGCAACACAAATTTCAACTACTATAGATAAATTTAAAAATGGTATCTCCATTTCAGAGCATAAATGCAAAGCAACCAAAAACTTAGAATATCCAGAATTACACAAGTTTTCAGATACAGGTTACAGAAGAATTTTTGCAAAGAAGAGAATATTTCTTGTACGCGAATAAGAGTATTTGATTCTAGAGTACATACAGCAGAACAGTATAAAGTCACAAGTATATGTTATTAGCTTAATAAGATGCTCATAAACTACTATAGTTACTAAAGCATAGCTTCTTGGCTTCTCAGCAGTGGTCAAAAAAGTTATTTCAGATTGTCTACTTTGAGACTGTTGTCTGAAGTGGTAGAACACTCTCTACTTCCTGCTGCTCAGAATTCCGTTGTGCCACTACCTTCGACATTCCAAACATCTGCCTTTCACACAAGAAGAGTTACAAATATTAAGTAGATACGAAGTATAATTAAAACACAATATCAGTCATATCACTAATCACTTAATGTAGGTGATTGCAATCAGGGGTAAAAAAAAAAGGAACTTTTGAATGGTTTTTGTGAAGCATGACTTGTGTTCATCCATGGAAGCATCAATGAACTCATTAATATGGTCCTTTAGATCCTCGAGGAAAGTCGCATCATCTTTCTTCTTCCTCCTACATGAAGTAATTGCTGGAGTTGGTGCAGTAATAGATGATTTGGTTTCAGTTTGATTCTTCTGAGAATTCATGTTACCAACCTCCTGTTGCAAAAATTGTGCTCAAAGAGCCACATAATAAACAAAATTTTCTTCTAGATCAGAGTATTTCATTCAATTAGCATTAAAAAATGAGTGTTCTCTCTAGATAATTTCAATAACCACACAAATATTGAAGTATGAAGGAATGACCCAAAATCTACAACAGGAACATTATAACTATTTCAGCATCCAGTGCACAAAGAACTTTAGGGCATGAGCACCGAGGCATAATCCGACACATCTAGTAAAAGATGACTTAGAGATCACCCGCAAAGCTACCAGATTTGATGACATAACAAACAAATCAACAATGTAAACCACTGAAGTAGGAAATTCCCAGACCAACATGGACAACATATAAATCTTCAAGTAACTTGAAACAACCATGGTGAGTAACACATCTTTGTACCCAGAAAAGCCCTCTACAAAAGTCAAATATCTCTTCGAAAATACAGCAAAAACACAGAAGAAGGCCAAATTCTCTAAAAGAGAACAACCTAAAGTCTTCCATCCCAAGCTCAAAACTGACCGTTCTTCTGAGGTTCCATTCAAAATCCACAACTTGTAAGCATCAAGTAAGAGGAAAAAGAAAGATGATTTGAACAATAAGGTGTCAAAATCTAAATTTTTGCAGCGAAGCACGTTGAAGAGCAAGTGCCTATAAGCTTGAGGCTTGTGAAGGATCAAGTCAATGATGAGAATCAAGAGATCACACTCTATGTATTCATCGGCAACTGACTTGCAGTCACCACATTTTAAGAGCCGGATATTTCCCGGAGAATATTGTATGTAGAGCTTTTCAATCCCACGACCACACTTCACACACCGAGGATCCATTTTGACACTATTTTATTTGAATCCTTAATTGAACTCTATCAATGTGTACCTGGACCAAAGAAACTGCATTTAAAGCTCAGATAAGGATACATGAATCATGTTCATATAGCATAAAAAGGCAGCTACATGTCTCTGAGTTTAGGGGTAGACCAAACAAGAACCAGGTGAATTCCAAGTGAAGAAGAGTAGATCAATACTCCTATCAATTTATTGAAAGGACAAGACCTAGTCACTAATATATTGTTTTGAGGGAGAGCAAGGGATCCCCTCCTCTCCACGGTTTCACTATTTCTTTTTCTTCCTACGACACGTTTTTTCAGTGTTCTCCGCGGCTGCTTTGGAACTCCCATCCAACAAAGCAGTCTTTCTACATCCACATATGGTATGCAAAGAAGTAGAGGATATTCCTAACTTCACTTTGCTCCTGTCACCTTGAAGTCAATCTTTTTTCTCCTATACCACCCCCTAAAAACATTTAACCTCGCCGGCTTCAAACCTCAATCAAACGCATCAAGCATTTAACTTTTGAAATGTTACACTCTAAATAACACCAACAATATATAGTAGATGAACATAGAGAGTTCATACCGAATTCGGCTAGACCAATAGATTGAGTTCAAATCTAATCTTGTTAGGTGATTCATACTAATGATTTGCAATGATCAATTAAAGTCAAATTACACATTACTAACTTCAAACAAACTGAGATGCTCAACCTCAGATTTCATATCATAATAAAAAGAAGAAACACAAACCCTCTATGCCTTCAAAAGCTCAAAACAATCAAAAATGGATCAAAAACACCTAATTTCATGAAATCAGAAACAAGAATTTTACAATTCAATTATATTATCATTAATTATCATTGCCATAGCAAATTACATGAAACCCAACAAAAAAAATGCAGTCTTTGCAATTTATTTATCTGTTTTTAGTAGCAACTATATTAACAATTATGTTCAACACAATTCAAAAATACTAACCCACAAAATTAACAAGAAATTTAGATTCAAATGAAAAGAATGATATAAAGAAACACGAGAATTACCTTCGGTAGTGTATGAGCTCAGAGCTTCAGATTTCCAATTCTCAAACGGTGAACATTCTCTTTCTCTTTCTTCAAATTTTTGGTTTTTCAAAAAAAAAAAAAAAAAAAAAAAAAACTCAGTTATGTCACTTTTTACTTTTGGGCTATTCTTTGGGCTAAATTAGGCTATTTTTAGTACCGAAAAATATGGGCTGGGCAGCTTGAAGGCCTTGAACCTACTAGAATCAAAGCACAATGTACAGTAAATTAATGTTTATGTTAAGAATTAAACTTGAGTTCATTAGAAAATGGATAAGAAGTGATACCATCTTTGCTATCTAATACTTTTGTTTATCTATTCTTCTTGAATATAGTTAATGTATGCTTGAGATTTTTGTTTTATATAAATTATTTTCTTAATCTAAATCTATAATTAAAGTATTTAAGATTATTATAAAACAAAAAAACTATAATTCGAAGTAAAAAATATTTAATGTATAGATTCGGGACATTGTCCGGGCTAAACACTAGTTTCTATTTAAAAACATGATGCATAGACTAATTGTTTTTCATAAAGTGCAATACTCAAAACGTATATTCAAAGTTAATTGCTTCGTCTTATGGAACGATGGATGGAGTATACTGACATTCATGAAGTATATGAGAAGTGGAAATAAATAAATTCAAAGTGTTAATTAGTATGGAACATATAGAGGATTATTCTTAGATGTACATAATTTCCCTGATAGGGTAAAACCGTAAAAGATAGCCATGATAACCAATAAAAAATTTACAAGAAGCTTGGAAAAACTAAGGGACATCAATGGTGGTCCATGCATAACTAGTGATTGTGCTTTGTCCATTGATTTATTCTTTCAAAATTTATAAAACAATTGAAATTGATTTCCCATTTTGAGTCGTGTCCAGTTAATTCCTCAGATAAACAAAATAATAGTCTTTTCAAGTATCAGTGAAGGGACACATGCGTCTTTTCATATAATAGTTGAGGGATACATGTGTAATTTCCTAAATGCAAGTTACAAACAGTATTGAACAGTTTACCACAAAAGTACTTAAAAAATGACACAGATTTTCAATATATTTACAAAAATTCCACAAGATTAACAAAAATTCGTTTATTTGGTAGATAAACTTGTATTTTCCGTCCCATTTTAAGGGTGTTCATACTTTCCTTATCGATCTAAAATATAGGTAATTCCATAATTAGCGCGTAAAATGTAATAATCAAAATATATTAGACAAAACAGAAAATCCTTATCGATCTAAAATATAGGTAATTCCTTATCGATCTAAAATATAGGTAATTTCAAAATCACAGCAATACCAAACAAATCCTTAAGTTTAAATATAAATATTGTACAAATCTAACTTGACCCCTAATCAAAATAAACATTAAACAAAAATGTTACATTAAAATTATCAACTTTGACCATAATCGGAGGGAAAAATAGTGATAAGACAGAGTATTTATTTAAGAACTACTCGTATGTAAAACTAAAAAAAGTCATCTAGCCAACTATTCTTTATTTCTTTGAGAGAATTTTATGTTTATGATAAACAAAAATACTATTCCGTACCAGATAATTTTATTTTTATATTTTAAACTTTGGGCTTCCTATCTTTCTTTAAAAATCCCTTAATGACTAATAATTGTCAAGCCCATCACATAAAAAATTAACATCCTTTTGTACTTCCACTAATTTACTCGTATTTATTATTGATAAGATACGATTAACCTATCATTCATTCATTTGGTGAATAAATATATACTCCGTATTTTTTAAAATATAATAAACGAGTTACTTGCTAATGTAGCAAAGCTTATGTAATCGAAAATATAATGCAAGAGTAAAGCCACTTACGTAAGTTGGATTGTTGTAGAATCTGGCAACAATTTCGTTTTAGTTTAACAGATCTTATTTCTTACTCGCCTTCCTCTACCTTCTTTATAAAATATTAGAGACATTGTACAATTTGTCCATAACTTAGGTTATACTTTAAACTAATTATTTACTTTTAAGTATTGATAATCATATTTTTATAACATATTTAGCTTTCTATAGTATTATAATAATGCTAATATTAAGCTGAGAATTTTAGACAAACTAAATTGGTGTTATTATATTATATGTTTGGTAAAGTTTTGTATTTTTCTAACTTCTTATATTTTAAGGTTAAAACTAGTCTTTATATGATTTCTCACTGTGAAATAAATAGGAAATGTCTTTATTCAAAATTTACGCTATAGAAGTCTCTATAGTAAATTTAATGGCTATGTTTTGGAATGTGCATGAGAGGTCTAAAACCCCCTAATACAATTCAAAAAAGGAAATTTTATTAAGAACTACCAATTAAAGCGCGTGTTTTGAAAACAAGTATCGAGTAAAAATTTCTTTTAAAAGAACTACCACAAAATTGTAAAAAGTTTAAATAGCACTACTACTCTAATAATTCCATCTAGAATATTCGACATGTAGGTTCCACTTTTTACCTTTACCTCATAAAATCACCGTCTAAATTGACTAAATTGCCCTTCATTAAGGTAAAAAGTGATAAAAAGTGAGACCTAAATGTCGAAAAATTTTAGCCAAAATTGTTAGAGTGATAGTGCTACTTAAACTTTTTACAACTTTATGGTAATTCTTTTATTTTTATTTTTTTAATATGTGGTTGTTGAAGAAACTGAAATTTGGGGAAGAATTTCAGAAGAAATAGAGAGAGAAAGTAGAGAGAAGAAAAGAAATTAATTGTGAAAAGGAATCTCATCTCATTAATTAAGGAGGAAACCAATATATACAAACATTACAGTTGGAAATAAATGTAACAAACTTTCTAACAAACTTGTCCTAGTCAGCAAATAAACAATAGCCTCAATAGCCCCCCCTCAAGATTGAACTGCCTTTTCAATGCAGGGCCAATCTTGACAAGGATATTGCTACACTAAACCAATCCTGCAACATAAAAATCTATGCTGATCTGCTCCCAACGGTTTAGTCATAATATCAGCAAGTTGCTGAGATGACTTGACATGAAAAATCTTGAGGAAATCAGCTTGAACTTGTTCCCTTACAAAATGAACATCCAACTTCTGATGTTTGCTTCTCAAGTGTTTTGATAACTCATGAAAAACAGGATTCTCTGCCAAACGTTGAGCAGATATATTGTCACAATATAAAGAAATAGGTGTAGGAACATGAACACCTAAATCATCCAACAAACCATCCAGCCAAATCAATTCATTAGCTGTATAACTCATACTCCTGTATTTTGCTGTTGTATAACTCGTTGAAACAACTTTTTGTTTCTTAGTTTTCCAGGAAATCAAAGATTTACCTAAGAAAACACAGTAACCAGATAAAGATCTTCCAGAATCTGCACAGGTACCCTAATCAGCATCACTGTATGCTGATAAAACAAGGTCATTCTGAACAGGATAAAACAAACCCATGTTCAAAGTACCCTTGAGATATTTAAGTACATGAACAGCTACATTAAGATGAGGCTGCCTGGGATTATGCAAGAACTGACTGAGTTGCTGAACAGCATAACTAATATTAGGTCTTGTCAAATTCAGATATAAAAATTTCCCAATAATCTTCCTAAAAACTTCTGGTTCTGGAAGAATATCCCCTTCAAAATCACTCAATTTCAAACCCTTTGGAAGAGGAAAAGAAGCAGTATTACAAGACTCCATATGAGCATCCCTAAGAAGATCAAGAATATACTTCCTCTGGTTTAATAGAATGCCTGACTCAGATCTAGACACTTCTATACCAAGGAAGTATTTGAGACTTCCCAAATCTTTGATAGTGAAAGAACTATGAAGAGCAGACTTCAGATCATCAATAGCAGTCTTATCATTTCCAGTAATAAGTAAGTCACCCACATAAGCTACAACAGCTGTAAAAGACTGTTGATCTTGCTTGACAAACATAGAACAATCTTGCTTAGACTGAGAATATCCAAAATCAATCAGAAATTTGCTAAGCTCCTTATTCCAGCACCTAGAAGCCTGTTTTAAACCATATATAGACCTTTTAAGTCTGCAAACTTGACCAGGAAGAGCTTTAGTATAACCCGGTGGAGGAGTCATATACACCTCTTCATCAAGAAATCCATGTAAAAAGGCATTATTTACATCAACCTGCTGAATATCCCAATTAAAAGCAGCAGCCAAAGCAATGATAGTTCTGACAGTAGAAAACTTGGCAACAGGACTAAAAGTATGCTTGTAATCCTTGCCTTAAACTTGTCTATCTCCTCTAGCCACAATCCTACCTTTACATCTTTCAATACTACCATCAGGATTGAACTTGGTTTTATACACCCATTTTGAACCAATAGCCTTTTTACCAGGAGGTAAATCAGTAAGCTCCCAAGTTCCAGTTCTTTCCATTGCTGCAATCTCATTATTCATAGCTTCAACCCACTCAGGATGATCCTTAGCCTGAGAATATGTACTAGGTTCAAAAGTAGTCAACACATGATTAAGACTGTGTTTATCAGAAACACTCATAGCCAAAAGAGATGGTTCAGAAAATACATTGAAAGAAATGCTAGCACTGTCATTCCTTGTAGAAATACCAGGAATATGAACTTGAAAATTTTCAAATTTCTTAGGTATAACCCTATTCCTAACAGACTGTCTGGGAATAGGATGATTACCCAAATTCACTGTCTGAGAAGAAACCTCAGAATCAGAAACAAAACCTTCAGCAACAGACTGATTAGAAGAAGAAACATGATCTAAACTCATCTAATTTGAAGATTCAGAAGAATCCTCAACAACAGTATTCAGAGGATTAACCAATATATCTCTATCAAGAGCAGGATTAACCAAATCTGAAAAAGAAACTGGATCAGAAAGCATCTTTAGCCCTGAATTTTCCTTAAAAGGAAATTCATTCTCCACAAAATACACATCTCTACTCAATATGATCTTGTGAGTATTCAAATCATAAAGTTTATATCCTTTTTGTCCATAAGGATATCCAACAAAAACACATTTCCTTGACCTTGCCTCAAACTTATCTCCAAATTTCTGAGCAGCATAACACAAGCAACCAAGAACCCTCAGGTGTGAATAATCAGGAGATCTACCACACAGCTCTTCAAAAGGAGTTTTCCAATTCAACACAAAACTAGGAAGAATATTAATCAAATAAGTAGTAGCAAGTAAACATTCACCCCAGAACTTAAAAGGTAAATGAGCATGCAACCTCATAGTCCTAGCAGTTTCTAGAAGATGCCTGTGCTTCCTCTCAACCCTACCATTCTGCTGAGGATTTCCAGGTATGCTCCTCTGATGAACTATACCATGTTCAGCAAATAACTGAGCACAAGCTTCCTGAATAAATTCTGTCCCATTATCACTCCTAAACACTTTTATCTTTGTACCAAACTGAGTATTCACATAAGCAATAAACCCAGTCAAAACAGCCAAAACCTGAGTCTTATCATGAATCAGGTAAGTCCATGTGGTTCTAGTCTTATCATCTAAAACAGTCAGGAAATAAGATGCACCAGATAAAGTAGGTCTCCTATATTTCCCCCAAAGATCAATATGCACCAAATCAAAAGGACTAGAAGCCATAGAAGAAGAGACAGGAAAAGAGAATTTATGATGTTTACCAAGAACACAAGCTTCACATCTAAAATCACAATTATTATTGCCTGATATTGGAACTATTACATGTTTTAATTTGCTAGAGGAAATATGACCAAGTCTAGCATGAATTATATCAATACTAGGATGTACATGCTTGGTTAACAAATTGTTTACAAGCTTTACATCAGAATTATTACAAGAAAACATTTGAGAATTATGAGAAGTATGGCTGAACTTGTAAAGACCAGATTGTCTGGAACCAACAGCTTTGACATCTTTAGATACAAGGTCCTGAAACAAACAGGAATCACTCTTAAAACAAGCATGTAGATTATGTTGATCTAGTAATTTTCCTACTGAAAGCAAATTGTGTTTGAAAGTAGGAATGTATAGAACATTATGTAAGACCAAAGAAGATGTCAAATAGACAGAACCAGCATATAAAACAAAAGTAACAGTTCCATCAGGAAATCCTACAATAATTGGATTTAGTAATTTTGTAAGAGAAGCAAATAATCTCAAATTACCAGCCATATGATCATTAGCACCAGTATCTATTATCCAAGCATCCTTATGAAAAACTGTATCCAAACTATCAACATTAGAGTCAATAACAATACCTGCAAAGTTGACAGCTGAAGACAAAGGATTATCAGAAGTACTGTGTTGCTGCTGCATCATCCTGCAAAACTCATTGTACATGTTTGTCATGACAGTAGGATCAGCCCCAACTCGAACTCCAGAGACATCACCAGAACCATTCCCTTCACTAGACTCCATAGGAGCCTTTCCAAGAATTCCAGAAGTAACATTTCCAGCAACACGAGAAGTACCTTTAGCCTTAAGAACATTAAATTAATCAGGAACTTTATAAATCTTGAAGCATTGATCAATCGAATGACCTCGTTTCTTGCAGTGATCACACACCATTTCAGACTTTTGTATCTTGAAATCCTTCTTATACTGAAAACTAGTCTTAGGAAAAACCTTAGGAGGAACCACAACATTACCAGATGCAACATTAAAAGCACCAATTTCAACAGAATTTGTGTTAATTTGAGTCAACTTATTCTGCTGCTCAATTTGTTGAAGAGTATGATAAGCTTTGTTGACATTAGGCAATGGATCTGCACTCAATAAATTCGTTGTAACTTGATCATAACTTTTGTTAAGACCAGCAAGAAATTGAATCAACTTCTTCCTTTGATCCATTTCAAGAAGTTTCTTGAGTATACCACAACTACATAATTTCATAGCACCACAACTACAATCTGGAAAACCTTCAAGAATCTGAAGTTGATCCCAAATACTCTTCAACCTACCATAGTACTCAGCAATACTATCATTGTTCTGGTTCATAGAACCTAAAATTCTATGCAACTCAAACAATTGAGGAGCATTAGATTGCCCAAACCTCTCAGCAATTTCTTTCCAGAGATCAGATGAAGAGTTCACAAACATGAAACTCTCAGTCAAATTCTTATCAATCGAATTTAATAACCAGGACATGACCATGTAGTCATTCCTTAACCATTTCTGGTAATCAGGAGAATCAACAACAGGAGAAGGCAAAGTTCCATCCACAAATTGCAACTTATTACGAGCAATTAATGCCATATGCACAGTATGACTCCAATTGATGTAATTTGAACCAGTAAGTATGTGATTACCGAGTTGCATACCTGGATGGTCGCCATTAGAGAGATAGTAAGGATCTGCAAAATTCACAGAGTTCTGTTGAGGTTCACCTCCCGCCATTGTTAAGAAGCTTGAAGAAGACGAAAAACAGCGAAAAATCGAAGAGAATAGAGATGAAATTGAAGAATAAACGAGGAATTTGAAGATATTACTGCAATTATGCAGAAATCAAAGAAAAATTATCAGCGGAAATTAGGAAAATCGAACACAAATTGCTCTGATACCATGAAGAAACTGAAATTTGGGGAAGAATTTCAGAAGAAATAAAGAGAGAAAGTAGAGAGAAGAAAAAAAATTAATTGTGAAAAGGAATCTCATCTCATTAATTAAGGAGGAAACCAATATATACAAATATTACAGCTGGAAATAAATGTAACAAACTTTCTAACAAACTTGTCCTAGTCAGCAAATAAACAATAACCTCAACAGTTGTTTTCAAAACACTTGTTTTAATTGGTAGTTGAGTTGAGCAATTAAAAACTTAGGTGGTGCTCAATTGGGCCTTTTTGGAATGGATTAGAATGGCGTAGAAGCTTTTCTAATACTTGATTGGGCATTCTTTGCCATGCAACGACCTCATACTAGTAGTGTCTATATTTCAAATCCTGTTTCTATAATCTAATACCTATATTACCTTGATCTTAAAATTCTTAATTCATACCATCATAAATAATAAGCACATATACATAGTAAGAGCACGTAAATTTACTGACCATATTAAGTAAAAAAAATAGGGTTCCCATTCTATACCATACCACGTACCCTGGAAATTTGGTATGGATAAGACCGTACGATAATGCTCAATTCATTCCTTTCCAATCCAGTTTGTTTAACCAAATTATCCCTTAAGGAATTGAATTTGGTGTTAAGATTTGGCTACCAGAAAGCTTGGGGATATAACTTCCTAGAATTTGTTTTTTTATGCATGCGTTGATTGCTAGATTGAATTGAAGCTTCATTCTTTAAACAATTATGTTGTCAACTAACCCTTGTCTTTAAACTCTTTGGTGTCATGCATTGTGAGTATGCAGCAAAAGTCTTTTTCTGCCTCCTTCGTTTGTTTAAGTATTTTATTTTGACATTTGTGCAGTTAACATATACACCACTTTGACCAATAACAGTGCATTATACATAAGTTAAACATAGTCATGTACCACTTTTTTTTTTTTTTTTTTTTTTTTTTTTTTGAGACCCTGTCATGTACCACTTGTATGCTATAATTGTATCAATTTTAGTTTTTAAGTATCAACTTTTAATAATTTATATTTATCATTAATTATTAAAGATATTATAGGTCAATGATTCTCATTATTATTGATATATATCTCGGTCAAAATGAAACACTTGAAAAAAAAAAAAAACCAAAGGTATTATTAATGAGGAGTTTGTTTTTCTTAAACTTATAGTATAGTCTCACCAATCTACAAATGCGTTTATACTAGGAAGAAATAGTAAAAAAAAAAAAAAAAAAAAAAAAAAGGAATGCTAATTAGGTCAAATTTATATTGTACTTGTTATTACTAGTATTCTTATGTAGCATCGACTAATTTTTCTTGCAACCTGTATCTTGTTATGTAAGTCCTTGAATTTTAGTTAAACTTATTTTAATTGTAATTGGACTTGGCTTGATTAGTTGGTTAGCATTTGGATTTTCTTGAAGGAGGTAATGAAATATAGCATTGAGAATTTGAGATACCTTTCTAAGCTCATCAAAATTATTCTCATAGCCTAAAACCCTTTTTTTTTTTTTTTGAGAAATCTACCTTTTGTATTTTCACACAGTTGGAATCTTGTTCTTTCATATACTGTAATGGATCTGGTCCCCCTCACTTGTTTGATAATACCAAAACAATCTACGAGCTTAATACTACGGAGTATATATGAAGATTTGGCTTTTTCAATGTTAATTCTCGAGGTTACTAAATAAATTATTAGTATAAAGTGTAATTATCAAGGTAATGGCCTGGTGACATTACTAGCAATATTGATTCCAGGAGAAATTTCCCACTTTTAAACAAAAATGGTAGTCCTTACTCCTTTTAGAACACTGTATCATTTTAAAAAATAGACGGAAGACTTATTATTTGTTTAACAACTGTTTGGGTCATTTTACTTTAGATTCGTTTGAGTCAATTAATTCGGGTTGAAATTAATTCAAATCCCTTTAGATTTATGAAGTTTTTGTTTCCATTAAGTTATACAGACCCACAATGTTAATTATTAAGTTAAGATCTCCTTGTTCAAATTACATGATTTGTATGTAATGGATTTGAATTTGCTTTCTTTGACATGGTTTTTACGTACGTTAACTTAATCTGACAAGACCATACAACATTTATTCTCATGAGGTTAAATCATGTAATCAACCAAATTACTCACGAATTATGTTCTTCAAGATAGAGTCAACATCCTGCTTATTTGTGCATTGTCTTCAAGTAAAGATACGTGTTTATACTTTATAGATTGAGTTGACAGAGCCAATTAAGCAAGTAGCAATTAGCAAGGTAGAGGAATATGTTAGGTGTTTGAATTGATGGATTATTAATAATTGGATTGTTTTTATTCAAGTATTCAAGAATTATGAATGATCTAATTGGAGTTTGATTTCATTAGTAGTTTGAATTGGCTCCTTAGCAACTGGTCTTGGACGTACTTTTGGTTGTATCATTGTACACGGTTACCTTTTGATATGTTTAACTCTTCAATTCATAGCTGTAATACGAGTTACTTGAATTAAAACTTTAATTTTTATTATTTAATTATTGAAGAAGTAGGTTGTTAGGATATTTTTTAGTATGAAAAATGAACATATATACTGAACTCTTATACATTATTTAATTTAACTACACAAGTCAACACTTTAATTCAGAAGATAAAATAAGAGAATTTTTTTATCACAAACACAATTATATTGCCGATATTCGTATTAGAATATATCTTCAATTTCTTTGCTCCTTACATATAACCCAAGACGAGGATAACATCTCGTCCAGTTTAGACATATAGTTAACGGCCTTATAACATATAGTCATTTACCCGTGTAAATCTTATTTAATTTTGTTATTGGCATGATATTTTTCACATGTATAACAAGTTGAACTTGTGACATTAAACTCACAAGTTGAATTTTCTACCATTACTACTAAAGTTGCTTGGTAGGGACTCTAGGGAGTAGCGGCTGAGCAGCCGAGTATGGTGTAGTCTGTAGTTGATGGAATAAGCATATTACTGTAAAAGAGTACATAGTGCACGAGGCCTGCATTGACATCAGAGACATAGAGCATAGAGGTGTGCCTGTGTTTGTGGAATTGTGGGGTTTTAACTTTAAAGCGCGCAAGACGTAAAGGTCTACATGTTTTTCTGTGGACTGTAGTATTCTAACTTAAAGCTCAGAATAATCAATATTGTAAATATGCTCGCTATTTACGAGTAGCTTTTACTTTTGAGGCGTTGAATATTTCTACTTTATCTATTGCTTTTCAGCAATTTTACTGGAGTAGGTGTATTTAGGTTTGTCATCACAATGTAGGCAATATTAAATTACAGAGTACTCCTTATTAAGGCGTTAAAGATATACGAAATATTATACTTGGTGGTCAGTAACACATTTTAAATGATTAAAATTGTTTGACAAATACATTGAATAATAACGTGATATATTTATAAAGTTGAGGAGTTTATCCTGTTATTGTCAATTGGTTTTAGTATGAAAGCTCCTAAGTTTTTTGTGGACCAAACTCTCATTCTCTTTGTTCGGATTTTCCAAGTCCATTTGATGTTAATTTTGACTTTCGAGTATTATGTCAAAATAAGGTGCTAATTTTTTAATTTTTTTTAAATAACAAAATAAGATGCTACTTTGAGATGATTCTTTTTAGCTTGAATTATCAACCTGCAATGTCCGTAGATCATATGTAGAAATACAAGTATACAACTTAGTAATGATATGACTCAATTAAATTAAATTTTAATGAGTGAAACTAAGATATTAGTAGTCAAATACGATATTCTAACGCTGGTACAATTCAAATAAGTTGTTTATTATAAGCATGACATAAACACCAAACAATTCTTCTTTGGAATAACGTCAAGCTTGAAGTTTGTAATATGTGGTCAAGTGAGCTATTTTAACATGCACAGACACATACCATCCAAAATTCAAAATATTCTTCTTTTTGTCAATACCTATTCGTAAAGGAAATAGCCTTTTCAATTTCTTAATCAACCTAAAAAATTTGAAGTTCACATTTCCAACTCGATCTCAAAGCCACACACTTCGCTGTAGATGCTTAGCCACATTGAGACTGTGGTCGACAACAAATCACATTTGTGATTCTTCCTATAATATGTCAATTATCGGAGAATTAAATTAGACAATCTTGCTTGGCTCGTGTATTAAAAACCGGAAGATGCATGTTAAAACGCTTTGATGTTACTCGAGTAAAAAATATATTCAAATATTAACTATGATATAAATGTTCACTTTTGAAACGTTGGAAGCTAGCCGCCTTTTAAACCGTTGTAAATAAAATAAAATAAAATATATATGTTCACTTTTTAGTTGACGTGTTCAATTAGAAGCAAGCCGAGAAAGTGTATAGATAAGTCACTTGGTGATAAAAGAATTTACTTCGTATATAAAAAACTTAGGGCGTATTCATATTTACTGAACTGAGTTAAACTGAACTGAACTAAACTGATTGGAGCTGAAATGAATTGATTGGAGCTGAACTGAACTGAACTGAATAGAGCTAAAATGAATATTTTATGAGTGAAAGAAATTAAGAGTTGAACTAAACTGAATTGAAATGAAATTTAGGTGAAGTGAATAGACCCTTATTAAGTGTAATTTTTTATTAAACTTAAATTATTTTTGTTTATTGAACTAAATTTACTTCATTTGATACTTGTAAAAATTTTAGGCTCGCCGTCTTCCCATCACCTTATATTTGCTGATCTGAAATTTTTTTATTGAACTGTAATCATTGTATTTGAACTTAAATTAATTTATTGAATTGAAATTATTTTTATTGAACTTTAATTAATTTTAATTAATTGAAATTATTTTTACTACTCTATATTAAAATTAATTTTATTGATTAAATTGTATTTTAACTAATTTTTATTATATTTATTCTGTAAGATTACTGATTTTTATTAAACTAAACATTTTTATTAAATTAAAATTATTTTTACTGAATATTACTATACGGAGTATTATTTTTAGGTGGAATGAAGGACTTATCAATATACAATACTGTAATAGGGAGTATAAAAAGATGCTAAAAAAAATCAACAAAATTTGAAACTATTTATGTCAACCTCAACTAAGTGGGACAAAGAGCACACAAATCAAGAAAAATAAATTAAGCTTAGCTAATAAAGCTTACAAATATAGAAAACCATTTTAAAAATCAAATGTAGTGTACATTACTTTTCAAACTCCAATTAATCAATTTACAAACTCTTGCATTCTCATTAAAATAACCCCAAATCTAATCAAAACAATATATTAGTCATTAAACACCCTGATTATTACAGTATTATAAACCCAATCATTCATTCAATCATTCTTCCCCTTTTCTCTGTCCACCCCACATAACTCAGAAACCAGCAGAAATTAACAGAGAAATTGTACAGCAAGTAGGAGTTTAAACCAGCATAGAAACATCAATTTTTCAGCCAATTAAAAAGGTATACTTCAAATTTCTGCAATATTTACTTCTATATTTTATTATCTTGACAAATCAGTATGAGGAAATATTAAATCGACCATACCAATTTGTAACACCCCCGATTATAATTACGTACTCGTAGTTTACTTCCGGATATGTAATTATTTACTACGGATATATATTTGGTTGTAACTACCATTTCCAAACCTTAACCACTTCGCTTCGTCAGCCATTTCCAGTACCTTCAGATCTTCTCCCTCACGCTATTTAGCACTCCTCTGTTTTTATATATCCCCGCAAAATTAGTGAGAATGTCACAAAATTAACACTAACCCATTTCAATTAACCACCTTAATCACATTTCCCACCTCCTCTTTTCCTCCATTTCCATCGCCTTTAGATCTTCTCTTCTTACTACACACATTTTCTCTCTCCTCCTCTGTTTTTTTATAAGCACAAAATTTTCCCAAAAAACTCAAAAAACCAAAACCAACCCACAAAAATCATGCCGGAAAACACCCAATTTCCGCCGTCAAACGGCGTTCAGATCCGCCAGTTACGGCGTTTACCTGACTTTCTTAATAGCGTGAATCTCAAGTATGTTAAACTTGGGTATCATTATTTAGTGACTCACTTAATAACTCTTTGTTTAATCCCATTAATGGCGGTTGTATTAATCGAAGTTTCCCAGATGAAATACGACGACGTTTACCAGCTTTGGCTTCACCTCAAGTATAATCTTCTTAGTGTTATTACTTGTTGTACTGTTATTGTATTCGGGTCCACGGTTTATTTTATGACCCGACCCAGATCCGTTTACTTGGTGGATTTCTCACTGTACCATCCACCAAGTCAGTTGAGAGTTACTTATAAGGATTTCGTCGAACATTCCCGGTTAACCGGGGATTTCAACGATTCGTCTATTGAGTTCCAAAGGAAGATTCTAGAACGTTCAGGGTTAGGAGAAGAAACAGTGGTTCCTATAGCAATGCACTCGATCCCCCCGCGCCCCTCTATGCAGGCGGCGCGGGAGGAAGCCGAGCAGGTCATGTTTGGTGCATTGGACAATCTGTTTGCTCAAACGGGCGTTAAGGTTAAGGACATTGGTGTACTTGTTGTAAATTGTAGCTTGTTTAATCCGACACCGTCTTTGTCCGCTATGATAGTGAACAAGTATAAGTTACGTGGTAATATTAAGAGTATTAATCTTGGAGGAATGGGGTGTTCTGCAGGAGTTATTGCTATTGATCTAGCGAAAGATTTATTGCAAGTGCATAGGAATACTTATGCTGTGGTAGTTAGTACTGAAAATATTACACAAAACTGGTATTTTGGGAATAAGAAAGCGATGCTTATTCCTAATTGCTTGTTTCGTGTTGGGGGTGCGGCGGTTTTGTTGTCTAATAAGCCTAGGGACAAAAGCGGAGCCAAGTACCGCCTTGTTCATACTGTCCGAACTCATCGTGGGGCGGATGATAAGGCGTTTAAGTGTGTGTATCAAGAACAAGATGAGATTGGTAAGACCGGCGTTTCGCTTTCTAAGGACTTGATGGCTATAGCAGGGGATGCACTTAAGACTAACATTACTACACTTGGTCCGCTTGTGCTACCTATAAGTGAACAATTATTGTTCTTTTTTACCCTTGTTGCTAGGAAGTTTTTTAATGTGAAGATTAAGCCGTATATTCCCGACTTCAAGCTTGCATTCGAGCATTTTTGTATCCATGCCGGAGGAAGGGCTGTGATCGATGAGCTTGAGAAGAACCTGCAGCTGAGCCCGGTCCATGTTGAAGCGTCTAGGATGACGCTTCATAGGTTCGGGAACACGTCTTCGAGCTCGATTTGGTACGAGCTTGGGTACATTGAGGCTAAGGGGAGGATGAGGAAAGGGCAGAGAGTATGGCAAATAGCATTTGGGTCTGGATTTAAGTGTAATAGTGCGGTTTGGCAAGCGATGAGGAATGTTAAGCCGTCACCTAAAAGTCCTTGGTTGGATTGTATTGACAGGTATCCTGTTGAGATTCATAGTTAATTATAGTATTAATTCATGTGCACCAATATAAAGTTGAAAAAAAAAAGATGAGACAATGTTGTTAGATAACTTATAATCTTTATTGATTTTTATTAGTATTGTATTCCTTAGTGATATCTACGTGGTAGAAAATAGAAAGGGTGGATGTTGGTGTTTATTTTGTGAAATGTCAACTTGCCAACTTATCATCGTGCGCTAAATGTTGATGTTCAATTCACTTGCTCCCTCTTATGTGAAAGATTGTTATATATACCAAGATATACGATACATTTAAGGGTATTTGTTTAGTCATTTTATAATAAAATGAGCAATAGTCATTGAAATGAACAAACAATACACATAGGTGCATTGACGCATTGTCACCCGGACGTATATAACAATTTTTAGTCTTATGTACTTGTCTTATTTGATCCAGTCATACATAATACTCCATATAAGAACAGTTAAATGACATAGGTCAAAAGCAATATATATGGTATCAAATTATTGTCATTTTTTAAATCATAGAACTCTAAATTTCACCTTTTTGAAATAATTCATTCTATTGAGCGAGGATGCTCTAGATTCTCATGGTGAGAAATACATGGCATTTTCGTAAATAAACCAACAATTTTATTCAACTTTATTCAAATGTGGAGCCCACAATAATGAAAATATTATTGATTTATTTACGAAAATACCCCCATGAGAAACACAATTCTCACCATGAGAAACAGGAATTTCCCCTAAAAATGAGGAATATACAGCTAATTCTTAAATTGCTATTGTTTGTGAAATGAACAAGTGATTGTTGATGTAGCTGCACATATTATAAACTCGTTCATCTGTGCAGGGAGCTGTGTAGTTTAAGCTTGTGGAACAAGAAAATTTTTCTAAGTTCCAATAATCTGGGGTTGGGATTTGTTAAGTTAGGTAAAAGAGGATCATGGGCCCTCATGGCTCTGAATTATTCAACGCTTAGGAAACTTCCTTCTTCACCAAATCACCTGCCAAAAAACATATGAAATGGAGAATTTTTTGTAATAAATGCTATGAAGATTATTATGATAAGTCTAATATATTATACGCCGGAGTAACATTTATACTCGTAAGTGTTTTTTAAGGGTAATATTAATGGTAACTTTTAAGGAAACTTTGTCCCGTGTTATAATAACTTAATAAAAGCCGGTCATATTCAAAAATTTGTGCAAATATGAATATAAATAATGTTGGGTCCTTCTACATTAAAATCTTAAAAATTTATTGGTGAGGTCTTTAGGTTTTTTTTTTTCCCTCTTATGGGCCTGACGCACCTATCTAATTATATTGGGCCATTATTCCAAGCGTATTTCTGTAGTTTAGTACATACTTCGTACATGATCTAGAGCTGTTCACTAATTATAATATTCAGTCAAATTAGACAAATTTTGGGAAAAACACAGCCTTCAGCATTCCTTTATAGTGAAATTATTCTTCGTGATTAAATTGATAAACATTGATCCAAACACTTTCAATAAGTAATTAAGGAGACATGTATGTATCAAGGAAAACACCCAGTTCAAATATAGTGTATAATTCTTGTTTAAAGATACAAGTATACAACAACAAAGCTTTACTTAAGATATTTGAAATGTCTGAACATTCCACAATACAGTACAGTAGGGAATTAAAAAACTTAGACCCATCATATAAAATTTAATCAATTCAAAATAAAGAAACCGTATAATTTCAAAACACTTGTAGTAACGAAAGGAAAAACACAACAAAACATTTAGATGAGTTTGACGAAGAGTTATTTGCCTATTGATTTGTGTAAAATAAGAAAACAGACTCTTCAGAGAGGCATCAAAGTTAGAAGTTTAAGAACATTAAGAGGTACAAGATGAGTATTACATACTAATGAGGCAATATTACCAAGAAATAGTACAAACAATCTATATCCTCTCGTGAGGAGGACTTTTGTAATGGTTCTTGTAATGATTCTTTTTCTTAGAACGAACAAACTAATTAGTACATACAATTAGCTACAGAGATCGATATACAACAAAATACAAGTTAATTATCATTACGATCATGTTAAATGTTTAGCCATAATCTTATTCTGATTTTGCAACCACAATTGTTGTTGTTGCATTATGTTTTGTTGATCAAAAGATCCACTCATTTTTTGTGGATCGATAGCACTTGTAGTAGTCGGAAATGACCCGAATGGATCATTCTCGTTCCATAGATTACTTTGTTGATGTTGATCCATATCTATACTCGTGGCACGAAATGTGGGGGTTGCTTGGAGCTTAGGACCCGAGGAAGAGAATAAATCATCACTTCCCACTTGACCAAACGGAACAATTGCATTCATTGCATTTGCACTTCCATCCCTTGGCTCAGTAGGAAAAGGTTGTGGTACTGTTGCACTGCTATACCCGCTAAAACAATCGAAGTTCTCCGAAAAGACTGATGAATTTGTACTTAGATTACTCCCATACCTAGCATGATGTATTGTTGGTTTACCTATACTAGCATTCACATTTTGAAATGAAACCGAAAAGGGTGATGAGCTGAAATCAGTACTCGCGAACCTAGCGTGATATGTTGTGGGCACATAATTGGCTTGGTTATAAGTAGGAGGCATCCCAGCAGTATTAGCTTCGCCGAAGTTATCTAAAACAGATGTCGAAAGACTTCGATTGTGCTCACCGTGTCCACCGTGAGTTACAAGCGATATGTTGGTGCTGGAACTGAAATTACTACTTCTACCAGGGTCATCGAACAAGTCTAGTTGTTGGTGGTTGTTTTCAGTGTTGACATTGCCAAGTTCGGGATGAAAATTTAATGGTAAACCGGCCTCGAATGTGCTTGGCTGAGTAGTGCTTCCAACACTAACACCTAAATCAGTAGGAAAACCACTATCTGAGATACTTCCATTTGTACTACCGGGTCCAAAACTAACATAACCAAAACTTCCCAACTCGTTGATGGGCTCGCTATTTTGAGCTTCGAAGGGAAGGTTTAAATCAACCGAGTCCTGTAAAAATGGGTTATAGGTGTGGTCGTCGGGCAGGGGAGAAAACGATGAGGTACTAGGACCATTGAAATCGCTGAAAAAATCAACCTCGAACCCATTGTTATTACTTGCAACACTACTATCAATGTTGTCATTATTATTAGTAATTTCTGTCGAAGGTTGATTTGTTGCTGATTCAAATAACACCAACTCCCAACCTTGTCCTGACTCTTCTGAGGGCGAAGTTAGTCCTTCATTGTTAGACTCCTCGACGACTTGCTGTTGAAGATCGGTGGGAGGAGATGGATCGTCTAATGATAAAAGATCCAACACCGCGTTAATCCCTCGATGATCAATTGGTTCAGATCTTACCGAAGTAGTGTCATTTGTACTATACGATTCTTCGAGTTGTGGTGGCTTCTCCCTACCAGGGTCCGAGTACCTCTCGGGGCTAAACCCGTGATCCCCACCTATGAGGTCCTCGAGGGAGGTGCATTGAGACTCACCATACTCGGACCTCCTCACGGAGTCTGACTCCGAGTTTGGACTAAGTGAGGGGAGGTAGTGTCCACTTCCTCCAGGTGTTCTACGACCGTTAGTCCCAGGGAAAGAAGATTGGTCCTTAAGGAACTCTTGTAAGGTTTCTACCAATTCTTCGGATATTGTTTGGACACTCGGGTACTCTGAGGTTCTACCGATTCCTATGCTCTTGCACAAGTCGTAGAAGGTGGCAAGTTCGCCGAATTGCTTAGAGGCTTTAACACAAGTTTGGAATGCACTTACACAATTGTTGTACTGTAAATGGAAGAAACTGTCTAGTAATAAGGCTAGACCATCGGATATGTCCCGGTATAGGTCGAATGTTTCCTGGACTATCGCGTAGAGGCAGGTTTGCACCACGTGGTTGGTTCGAGCTGCACCTGTGGGTTGGGTGGCGATTGCACGGTCTAGTAGCTTCTGCCAGTGTAAGATCCTGAGTAATTTTAAACACCAATGTATAACATGAGAATATTGACATAGTTTGAATTAATTTGGTACTTGCTTATTGCATAAACTGGCTTACACTAGGCTAATTTATGTGTTTGTCAGAGAATTTCAAGTGAGAACAAATATACTTCTTCAATCTCAAAATGGTTTATAACGCAACACAACCAATATTAACTCTGTCGAGACAGATCATATATTCACTTTTTTTTTAAAAAAAAAATAAAAAAAATACAGAGTAATTATTCTAAATTGAATTAAAATTAATTCGGGAAATATTGCTGATTAATTTCTCTATTGTGGTTTCACGAAAATCTATAAACATTAACCAGGGCCGTTGCAATGTTTTTGGGGACCCTGTTCTAAATTGAAAAAATGGGCCCTTAATAATTTGAAAACGTACAAAATTTTAATCTTTAACCTATTATTTACGCCATACACAATTAAGTAACCCTTATATATTGGGAAGATATTTAGCAGCTTGATAAGAATAATTATGAAAAATTAAAATTAATTGCTTAAATGTTTTGTCGTCGTTACGGAATACGAATCGTTTAATTTTTAATTTCACTGAAATTAACTTTTTTACGCCGAAAATTTTGGAATGGGGAAATATTCATTACAATTTCATGGAATTGAATTGATGTAATTGTGAAAATACTAATTTGAATTGATAGAAGAATATGAAAAGTGTTAGAAATTAATATGGGAGCTTGGATTAATAACGGAGAATATGATGTGCATTACAAATAATTAGGCTCTTGAAAGTTGCAGCATTGTAAAAAAATTAAATAAGAATTGAAAAAAATAGGCCCTCTAATAATCGGGGCCCTGTGCTAGAGAGCACTTTGCACTCTCTAATCTACGCCCATGACATTAACTACCTACAGTATTTAATTTTATTTTTATCAGTTAAGACATTTGCCCAAAACATAATATCCAATATTATGGAAATTTAAAATGAGATCAAATACTACTATTTCAAATTGATCTTGCAGGCAAATTTATGTTCCAAATTATATATGTTGTGCTTTAAGAAAACATTATAGGAGTACAATATTACAAGATTACGCATGTTTAATTGTATTAGGCTTCAGTAATTATTTTTTGGAGACGGAAGAGTGGAATACCTGTCAAGGAGCACACTAGGCTTCATGTCACGGACAATAGGTTCATTATTCCTCGAGTAACCCTTGCTACGGCCAGATTGTTGATACGATTTTCGCCGTTGAAGCTTGCCCGTGAGGAAGCAATCGAGACGCTCATCAAGGTAGAGGGCGAAGGTGCGTACGAAGGCGGTAAAATCCCAAGGGCAAGAAGTAGAGGAGTCATCACGGAATGAGTTGAGATTAAGGATCTTGTACCCTCGTTTCATGGCATGGAGGATCTCCTTAGGGAAATGTGGGTCCCCATCTTGGAAAACCCGGAGGACTATCATTAATGATTTTAATGCCACGACCCAATTTCGAGTCCTACCTATGCGGCGTCCTAGTGCTCTTGCACAGGACCCCGCATAGGTTCTATTTGAGGACACGATTCGAAGGATATCTGTGATGTATCTCTCATCCACTGGTACCTCATCGTGAGTTGTAGCCTTTAAAATTGCTACTTCGAGGGTTGAGGACTCTGCTCCCCCAACCTTCGCCAGGCTTATGCTCGTTTGATCCTTCATGGCCGCGATTGCCTTTCTCAATTTGCTCGGCATTGTGGTTAGTTGTGGTGGTGGTTTCAATAGAGAAAAAAAAAAAGAAGGTTATTAGTCTTGTTATAAAAGAAAACCTCTAAGAGAATTTCCCCAAATTATTATTGTTGATTCAATAAATTACATAAAATCGCGATGATTGTAACAAGTTTGTGAGAAATTTCTTTGTTTTTTTTTTTGGATGATTGAAATTTGAGGAAGAGAGAGAAAATTTTGAAGATATGATGGATTTGAGAGGGTAAAGAATAGGGTGGAAATTTTGGATGGTGGAGGGAAAAGGAGGGAAAGTTAGTGGGAGGCCATTCATGAGACACACAATGCAATTTCAAAGTTGACTCATTTTATTAGTCCCTTAAAACGTGAGAAACACTAAAAATAAAATAGTAGACACATATTATATGTTCGAAAGGTTAAATAACATCAATAGGGGTTAAATTTGCCATTCTAAATTAATTCTCGTATATTTTGTAGGAAATAAATGTGAAATGGCCAGCACATACATACCCATCATTTTCCAGAGATAAATAATACGAACTTAAGAAGTATAAGGAATGTATATATTGGACCTCCACTCCTACTAATATAAGGCCTTGTTAGATAATGCCTTTTTTGTGCACGTAGACAATACTAATTTCTTAGTTGTCTCCATGATCATGATATATATATCCAGCAAAATCGGGGATTGATATGATTATGATTATATATTGAGCTCCAAATCATAGGACAATAATAGCAAATGTTGTATGACTTTTAGATAAAGTAGTTTTCTTTTTTTTTTAAAAAAATTATCATAAATTGGGTGTAACTTTACATCAAAAAAATGATCTTGTTTTACCCCAAGATATATATTTTCAAATGACAAAATGAGAAATCAGATAAGTGATTCACAATAACTTAACATCACCTTAATTTATATGTGATTCACTATAACTTTATGCGCTATCCACATAAGGGGTTGTGTTTGTTTATTAATTTTTTTTAAGGAGTTGAAAATACAAGTGTAGATTAACTCAAATCTAATGCTCAAAGAACAACCTCTAAACTTAATTTTTCTTTCTGTCTCTTATCTAGTTATTCTTTAATGCATGTAGAGCTGTAGGAAAAATAACTAATTCTATAATACCTCTATTTTTACTCAAATGCAATTCAGTTCAATAATATAAATCACCTCTTACCTCCCCTTCCAAATCCCATAATTTTTTTTTTTAATCTTTAAGAATATTTTGTATGAAAATTCATGAATCTTTTGGATTTATAGTTTAATACCTATTCCATATACAATTCCATGACTATTATGAATTAGGAGGAAGAAGAAAGTGGCATCCAAACAAAATCTCCGTAATAATCGAGGTAATTAGTAATTTAGTAGGGTGATTATAATACTTACATGTATGTTCCTGGCCTAATGATCTATCTTGGGCGTGAAAATATCAAATGTTAGAGATAGAGCAATGTTATGATTTAAATATTGTTTAATTGATTTTGTGAAATGAAAAATATCTTTATGGACTACATTTTTGAAAAATTTCATTCTTAATTAGAAATTGTGCTTCCGTGTTTCCAAATACATACACTAGCTCTTTGTTATCTAAATCACTGGTTATGTGAAGATAATGGAAATAATCTTGATTGAATATATATTGAAAACATTTCAATCAAACTTGATGAATTCCTAATTTTATTCTCATAACTAGTAGAAAATTTTCATATCCTATTCCTTATTAATTCTATATTTTTTTTATATAAAAAATGATGTCAATATGTTAGTAAATTGAGACAATGTAGGAAATTCATGAAGAGGCCACCAAAGACTTCGTTTTCTTGCTTATATATTGAATAAAGATATAATGTGTTATAAGTGTCTATCCAGTAGACATCCCATTTATTAATTATGGAGTTTAATTTTGGATCAAATATCGTTAATTGTATGAAAATAAAATACAACTTGAAATCTAGTGTTGTAGCTAAGAGAGGTTCAAAAACTGAACCGGATGAGACCAGGTTGAAGAGAAATGTTCCATGCTCCAAGTCTGAGAGAATTTCATTTTCTAGTCCTTAGTTTGGTCCAAAGCCCTTAAAAACAAAAGGTCTTGGACCAAGACTGACTTTTTATTTAAAATTATGCATGAAACCTCTATAATGTCTTAAAACATTAATATTATGGCTACGATATTTTCTATGTAGTTCTAGGCATTCATATAATCTAAATGCATTGAACATTTTTTTTTAAATAGTATCATATGGAGTAAAATTTATATCGAGTAAAATATAGAAAATGTTCTTAATTCGGTCTAATTGATTCGGGTTGGGTTTTGAATCAGTCTTATTGATCCAAGATCTGAACTTAAAATAGAACAACCCCAGTCTGACAATTGAATTTAAATTTTTGATCATGTACTGATGAACAACCCTCATTTTTTTTCTTACCCGGTTCGTGGTTAGGGTTCGTGGTTAGGTTCCAGTCCCCTCCCAATTGTTGTTGCGGGAGATCGAACACGGGTTCTCCCTACCAAGTGTAGTCCCAATCACCACTACACCAACATCCAATTGGTATTGAACAACCCTCATTGAAAGTATTATTGTGTGAAAAGACGAGAAAGATACTGAAAATTGCACAACCAGTCTGATATTTAAAGTTAAATTTTTGATATGTACAGATGAAGAACCCTAATTGAAAGTATTATTGCATAAAAAGACGAGAAAGATAATGAAAATTGTAATGTCAATTGGCTTGGCTGAACAAAGAAATTCTTGCAATCTTGCAGTGGTAGGTGTAGACGTGTAGTATGTAACAAAGCATTTAAATCGACTGAAAGTTAAAGAAAGAAAGTGAAATGGTGAACATAGTGAATTGCTACATGTCCTTGCTACAAAAGACAATGAAGTTAGCTGGAATGCGACCCAAAAAGTTGGAGATAGAGCCAGGAACAACCATTCATTTTTGGGTTAACAGCAACAAGACGAAGAAAAAGAAGAATAAAAAGCCTCTTGTTCTTATCCATGGTTTCGCCGGCAATGGCCTAATAACATGGAGTTTCCAAATCTTAGCCCTAAGAAAAAAGTATGACCTTTATATACCTGACCTTGTTTTCTTTGGTGAATCCTATACAACAACCAAAAGTACCGAGGTAACTCCAAGATTTCACGCGGATTATTTTGCAAAAGGGCTAAGGAAGTTGGGTGTTGAAGAGAAATGTGTGGTAATAGGGTTTAGTTATGGTGGGTTTGTTGCGTTCCAAATGGCTGAACACCACCCTGACCTGGTGTACTCGATCGTGGCGATCGGCACGGTTTCGGCTTTGTCCGAGTCCCTTAGCCGTGAGTGTTCGGAACAGGTCGGAGGTCGTCCTTGGTCGGAGTATTTGGTCCCACAATCTGCCGAAGATGTCAAGGTTCTTTTTGATATTTCTTTTCATAGATTGCCTCGGATGCCTAAATTCTGCTATAAACACTGGCTTGAGGTACTTGATTAGTCTACCTCTGTGGTTTTTTTAATTGTTGCACTTTAACCATGCTTGTCGAGACACGACTTTGACTATTTATTTATTTAATTATATATAAGTTAAGGGTCTGTTCATATATACTTATTTTCAGTTTAGTTCAGTTTAGTTCAGCTCCAATCAGTTCAGTTCAGTTTTATGCATTTTAATTTTTCAGTTCAGTTCAGTTTAGTTCAGCTCAGTTCAGTAAATATGAATAAGCCCTAAATTATTATAGGAAAATTAATACTTCGTCACTTTAAGTATTAAGTGAAAAGAACATTACCTCTGCTCAATTGAGGAGAAAAAAAAAATCTCATTCAATTCAATTAAAAAAATATGCACATGCGTCAATAGGGGTGTTCAGATCCGGGTACCCGAAAAAGCGGGTACCTGGATCTTCGGGTAGTATAAAGCTCGGCCCATGTCCCGACCCGGGAAAACCGGGTACCCGGATATCGGGTACCCGAATTTCCCGGGTCGGGACAGAGGATACCCGGTTATTTTTTTATTTATTTTTTCTTTTTTTTTTGGGTAAATCAAGCATAAAAAAAAATACTCATAAAGCAATTCAGTAGCTCCAATTCATACAAAACAATCCAAATTTCTAAGTTAAAGTTTTGTATAATTCAAATCCCATAGCTAGGTCACAAAAAAGACCTCAATAATTCATTTTACGAATTAAAACATAAAATCAGAAATCAATTATGAAAGTAAAATCAAACTCCACTAGCACAAATAGCTACTTTCATTCCTCATTAAGCCACCACAAAATCAACCTCCAACTCAATCAAACGCACTTTGATCTGTGAGAAGAAATTGCAATTTATGAATGGTAAGGTGCCGATTGCTGCGATGTTGTCATCGCTTGTTACTTGCATGCATTGGAGTAAAGATGTAGAGAAATTCATAGATCTAACTATGAGAAGAGAGTTGAGTGGTTGTATGGTGGATGAGTGAATTGAAATTCAGAAGAAGAAGGGGAATTGAAATTCAAGAAGAAGGAGAATTGAAATTCAGAAGAAGAAGGAGAATTGAAAGATAGTACTTGAAATAACAAAAGGGAGAGAGAAAGAGATGAGGAATTGACAATTGAGGATGAATGTCTAGTCGGCTACCATAGAGGAGAGAGAATATGGTGGGTGGGTGGTTGGGAATAAACCCTTAACCCTTAAAGACTGTTTTTCTTTTAAAAAAAATATCAACTCACGGGTCAGCGGGTACCCGCCACCCTCACAGGTCGGCCCATGACCCGACCCAAAAACATGCTATATAATCGGGTCGGGTACCCGATCCGCGAATTTCAAAAAAAATTACAAAAAATACCCGGATAAATCAGTTGGGTCATCGGGTCAACGGGTCGGGTATTTTTGAACACCCATATGCATCATTCTCATATAAAGAAATTCTTCACTGTGAGCGGAGCTAGGATTTGAACAATGGTAGACACCGAAACACTTTTCTCAAGGTCTTAATTATTTTATTTTTTTTACAAAATTAAGACACATTCACGTAATGCAATAAGACATTAAGCGATAAAAAAGAAATTAAAAAAAAATAAGTAAAATAAGCAAAGAAAATGAATGTTAGCTACGTACTGCAACAGGACATTAAGTGGAAATTAAAAAAAGAAATAAAGGAAAAAATAAGGACATTAAGTAAAAAAAAAAAGAAAAATAAATAAATAAATGTTGGGATAGGGATTGGAACCCTTGACCTTAGGTAGACAAGTTATTGTTCCAACCACTAAGCAATTAGTAGGTTTGAATAGTTTTTATTTTATTTTATTTTATTTAGGAAAGGTTTGAATAGTTTAATACACTTTGTATTCTACTTCGTATTTGAATAAATTTTAACTAACTTTTTTTTTTAAAAAAAAAAAAAAAAAAAAAAAACATCTAGTAGGGCACGTGCCCTACCAGGACACTAAATATATATATTTAGTCAGTTTATTAATCATGCATGTCTCAAAATATAAATATATAATTAATATATTGATGTAAATTGTGATGATGCCAGAGCATGTATGACCATAGGAAGGAGAAAGTTGATTTATTAGAGGCTGCTTTGATCAAAGATGAAGATGTTCCTAACCATCAATTTAAGCAGGTCTGTAACAGTACGTGTTGCGATCAAAGATGGAGTCCTGTATAATACTTTTATTTTAATTCAATACATGACTAAACACCAATCTTAACCGGAGTAATTGGCAAAATTCTCATTTTTATTGTTAATCCAAGCAAGATTTCCGACTCCATTTTTTTAGTTAATTTGTGCAAAACAATCAATAGTACAGTAGCGATTAATTAATTTTGATGTACTCTTTTATTTTCTATTTCCCTTCTAGAAAATTCACCTACTATGGGGCACTGAAGACAGAGTTTTCAACCTGGAAGTGGGAATAGCACAAAAAAAGTATGATCGTTTTGAACCTTTTTTTTACACATGAATATAATATACGTATGAACTTATTACTTTACTAGTCACACCTCGGCCCATAATTAATTGTTACGATGCTATATATCTTAATGTATAGTGTATTAGTGTGACAACTTGTTAAAATAGATTCAAGAATTCTTCTCTGTATTTCTCTGTTTCATATGCACGGCCACATACAAGTATTTAACTTAGGTAAACTTGGTGAGCAAGGCCAAGATAACCTACAATATTCTACCCTATCTTCACAATATACAAACTTATCATAAATAACAAAATATAATATCCTATAATATCTCAATACCCCCCTCAAGTTGGAGCGTACGGATCACGGACACCCAACTTGCGCAGTAAAAATTCGAACTTGGTTTTTCCCAAAGCCTTAGTAAAAATGTCAGCCAGTTGAACATTTGTAGATACATACGAGGGTTCGATAGTACCATCAGTGATTGCATCCCGCACAAAATGACAGTCGGCTTCAATATGTTTCGTGCGCTCATGAAAAACTGGGTTCTCCGCAATGTATAGGGCCGATTGACTATCACAATAAAGATGCATCCCATTTTCATGATTTACACCCAAGTCACGAAGAATACGTTTCAACCACTTTAATTCACAAGTCGTTGCATTCATCGAATGATACACTGCCTCTGATGAAGAAAGAGCAACAGTCGGTTGCTTTTTGGTTTTCCATGACACTGGAGACAAACCAAGCAGCACAAACCAACCACTCAAGGACCGCCTGGAGAGGGGACAACCTGCCCAATCTGAATCACACCATCCTTCTAACTGTAACGCACTGTCGGACCTCAGTAGAATTCCCTGTCCCGGGCTCTTCTTCAAATACCTAACAACTCGCAGAGCTGCCTCCCAATGATCAATCCTGGGATTTTGCATAAACTGTGATAGGATATGCACAGAATATGCTAAATCTGGTCTAGTGACAGTAAAAAAAATCAGTCAGCCTATGAGCCGTCTATATTTCTCTACATCTGAAAAAAACTCACTCTGCGACAAAGCCAATCTATGATTCTGAACCATAGGGAACTCTGCAGGCTTAGCATCCAGTAGACCTGTCTCTGTAATAATATCCACTGCGTATTTTCTTTGACAAATGAAAATGCCCTGTGCATTCCGGGCTACCTCTAGCCCTAAAAAATACTTCAACACTCCAAGATCTTTCATTTTAAAGCAATTTCCCAGATATGATTTAAAGTTAAGCATAGCAGATTTATCGTTGCATGCAATAATTAAACCATCTACATATACTAACACATTGAGCTGCATTTTACCCTTGTTCAGAGTAAATAAAGAGTAATCATAATATGACTGCTTAAAGCCATAACTTTTCAATGCTGCAGCTAGCTTTGCAAACCAGCATCTTGGAGCTTGTTTAAGGCCGCACAATGATTTATTCATTCTGCAAACTTTGTCAGAATTATTTTTCTCAAAACCAGGAGGAATTTTCATATATACCTCTTCTTCCAAATCTCCATGAAGAAACGCATTGTGAACGTCCATTTGATGAACATCCCAATTTTTCACCGCCGCCACTGCAAGAAATGTTCTGACTGTCACCATTTTTGCTACAGGTGCAAATGTCTCATTGTAGTCTAATCCTTCAACCTGATGATTTCCGAAGATGACTAATCGTGCTTTCAACCGCTGCAAATTTCCGTGCTCATCATATTTTTCTTTGTACACCCACTTGCTTCCGAGAGCCTTTTTACCAGGTGGTAACTTCTCTAGCACCCAAGTTCCCTGTTCTTCTAGAGCCTGTATATCATCTGCCATTGCTTTTCTCCAACCCTCGTGTTTCATAGCCTCCTTGAAACTTTTGGGTTCATTTCTTCCTGTAATAGCGGCAATATATTTTCTATGTTTCACAAAAAATCGGTGAGAATCAACATAATGTGTTATTGGATAAACAGTACCTGAGGAAGTTGAGTCGAGTGAACTGAGAGATGTGGATGGAATTTTATTCCGTATGGTGTGAGTCACAAAATCATCACAGTATTTAGTAGACGGGAACTTTGTTCGTTTGCCTCTACCCATGTCACTGTCAATTGCCGTCGCTTCTGTGCTCACACTCACCTCTTGCGTGACAACATCACCCTCAAGAGGCACCTGCTGCTGCTGATTACCACCCATAAGGTACCTGCTGCTGCTGCTGTTCCACGCCCCTTGCACCAGCGCCCGCTGGAAACTCATCGGGCTGGGCAGTGGCTTGGCAGGGTGGAGGCAGCGGGCTGTCAGCGACCGCAGGCTCTGCATCTGCCTGGACGTTGACTGGGCAGGGGGAATGCTCGCTGCCACATGGTCTTGCTGCACCTATCTCGGGCTGCTCCCTAGTCTCAATAGCCCACTCATCATCATCACTAAAATATTACTCCACCCTAGGGTCAACCGAAGGCTTTGGTGCACTCTCACTCTCGGTTGTAATATAAGGGAAATCACTCTCAAAAAATTGCACATCACGAGAAATAAACATTGTCTTAGTCTCCAAATCGTAAACTTTCCATCCTTTCTTCCCAAAGGGATAGCCTAAAAAAACACACTTTCTACTTCGGCTAGCAAATTTATCACCCTTACTTTGTTGATTATGAGCATAGGACAAACAACTAAAAACCCGGATGTTCTCATAGGAAGGCGGTTTATTAAATAAAACTTCAAAGGGAGTTTTATAATCGAGTAACCATGAGGGTGTTCGATTAATCAAATGACAAGCACTTTGCACACACTCTCCCCAAAATTTCAAAGGCAAATTGGCTTGAAACCTCAAGGCTCTAGCCACGTTCAAAATATGTTGGTGTTTTCTCTCAACCCGCCCATTTTGTTGGGGTGTCCCAACACATGATGTCTCAAAAATCATCCCATTAGCAAAAAAATAATTTTTCAAGGAATTGAACTCTGTGCCATTGTCACTACGAACTATTTTTATGACTTGATTAAATTGACGTTTGACCATAGCAACAAAACTAAGAAACATAAACTCAACTTCAGTTTTATTACTTATCAAATAGGTCCACACACCACGTGAAAAATCATCTATAATAGTAAAAAAATAGTGAGCACCACAAGACGAAGGTGTCTTGTAGGGCCCCCACAAATCCAGATGCACAAGCTCAAAAATACGACTAGCTTTATTGTTGCTAATTGGGAAACTATTCCTATGTTGTTTTGCCCGTGGGCATACATCACAAGGTTTATTTTTAATGCTTTTACTAGAACTACTCACAACGGGAAGAGAACGTAGAACTTTTTCCGAAGGATGCCCCAATCTACGGTGCCATAACTCCAAGGAACCATCACCAGTCACCTTCAATGCCTTCACCTCAGGAACACCACGGAAATAGTAAAGTCCATCCACGCGTTCACTCGCTCCAATCACCTTCCTCGTCATTAGGTTCTGTATAACACAAAGATTGTTAGTGAATTGTAAAGAACAATTCGATTCATCACATAATTGAGTGATAGAGATCAAGTTGCAATTTAATTGCGGCACAAAAAGGACGTTTTTAATCATCAAACCCCCTTCTAAAATCACAGTGCCAATTTGAGAGGCATTAGCATAATTTTTGTTAGGCAAACCAACTGGGCAATTAATCACAGTCGTCACTTTGGTTAAAAGGGATAAATCACAAGTTACATGGTTTGATGCTCCTGTATCGATGATCCAAGATGAACTGTTCTTACCATGAAGCTTTGATTTTACTGAATTGAGATAATCCAGCAATTGTTGAACCTGATCAAAAGAAACCCCCGCAAGAGCAGCAGCATCAGCAGGCGTAGCTGAGCTTTGCGTGAGTTGAGAAGGCTGCCCAGTAGTTTTGTTCGCACGAACTGTTGCTGAACCACCTCTGCTCTGACTGCCAGCACCTCTTCCACCTCTCCTTGCCACAGGACTGCCACGGCCAGCACCCCTGCCACCTCTACCCCGGTCTCCCCACCACTCGGGATACCCAATAAGCTGGAAGCATGTACTCTCGTCATGGCCTTCCCTATTGCAATGGTTGCACAACTTATCATTGTTCTCTCTTTGTCGTGGCTTGGACGCACCCTCTGACTGGACTTTGAAAGCCACGGCATGTTCACGAGTACCAGAAGACACACCTCCACGCAAGCTTTCTGCTTGAATCAATTGTTGATACGCACGATCAACACTCGGCAAAGGATCCTGGGCTAGAAGCTGCCCACGAATTGAACCATAGGCTTCATCTAAACCAATTAAAAAATGATGAACATAATCATTGGCACGGATCTTCTCCACCTGAGCAACTATATTGCACGTACAGGCACCACAAGAGCATGCGGGTACCGAAGCATAAGCGTTCAATTCATCCCAGATTTTGGATAATCGCCCAAAATAAAGAGCCACAGATTCAGTCGGGCCTTGCTTGCAATCTCCCAAGGCCTTCTTCAATTGACACACACGAGTGCCACTAACCACACAAAATCGGTCCTTGAGATTGTTCCACAAGAGACACGCATCATCATAGTCACCAATAGTAGACCGTACAATAGGATCCAAGGTATTTGACACCCATGAGACCAATCGTCTAATTTCTCTGAGTCAGTCGGCTTCTTGACCGTACCATCAATGAAACCATACTTCCTCTTTGCCTTCAAAGCAGTACGAACTGCTCTTGCCCATTCGTCATAGTTCTCACCACGCAATTGTATTGGGGTAATAACATTGCCAGGGCCATCACTCGAACCAAGATGATATGTCAAATCGATCTTAGCTTTTCCTTCATCACCAGGCATGATGCAATTATGAATAAAAAGAAAAAAAAATTTAACGGAGACTCACTGTTCCTCACAAAAGAAATACGAACTAGATGAACTAGATTTCGTAAAAAAAAATTCGGATCTCAACCTAAGCTCTTAATACCATGTTAAAATAGATTCAAGAATTCTTCTGTGTATTTCTCTGTTTCATATGCACGGCCACATACAAGTATTTAACTTAGGTAAACTTGGTGGGCAAGGCCAAGATAACCTACAATATTCTACCCTATCTTCACAATATACAAACTTATCATAAATAACAAAATATAATTTCCTATAATATCTCAATACAACTAAATTCGAATATGCTAAGAGATAATAACAAAGCAGTGCTTATGTTTTATTGATTGATGATGCAGGAAATTGGGCGGCACGACTGAATTGCAAATTATAACGAATGCAGGTCACCTAGTTCAATTGGAAAGGCCGTGCGCCTTCAACAAATGCCTCAAAAATATACTGGACTCCTTGGCTATTGACAAGAGATTGACAACTTAACAAACTTGCTTCATAGTTTTGAGGCTTTAATTTGTGTTAATTGCTCCCTCAAATTTATTTTTATTTTTTTACTCTTTTATATTCCTATAAGATATGGTGTTAGAAATAATCTTGTCTTTAACTGCCAAAAATGAAAAATTACCACGGAATCTCCTGTCATGAGCTTTGTCATGAGAGTTGATTTATTTACGAAAATGTCATGTGAGAAATATATTTTGTTTCTCATTATGAGAAAGTGAGGCATCCCCGAAATTCAAAGTTAAATCTCAACTAGTTAAAATTATTTGCATAACTATTGTGGTATCAAAATTCTGAAACGGATCAATGTGACTTATACAATTAACTAAGTAGGCCAATCTTTAGCAGAATTCAAAACAAAGAATCTAAAGCAACCGATCATCTGTAAACCGAACTTATCATACTATATATCCATTAGCATATCGATCATATTGTTCTAATCTCACCGTTTCAATATAAATGTCCCACTTTGACTTTTATGTTTTAACCATTTATTGTATATTCAAAGCTTTTACAAAATATTATAGTTACTCCAGAGTATATTGTAGTTATATAGTTATAATAGTCTCAATAATGTATATTTTCTGAATAATGGTCAAAATTTTGTAATGACAAACGTAACTGTCAAAATAGGACATTTATTTTGAAACATACATAGTAGGCTCGTATTAGCTGAGTAAGAGAGGGTGAAAGATAATGGAATGTATCCTCAATGACAGCCAAAACAATAGCAGCAATTCAGCAACAAATAAACAAAAAACTCTTGATAAAGAGGCTATAATCAACTATGGTAATTATAAGTCCATTTCACCTCAAGGATCCACCTTTCAGGCCTTCAAAATTTGTAAGGACATTTAATGTTTTAATGGCTTATCATAAGAGTGAATCCATTGACTATGCTAAGACAATTTTATTCACTTTTCTTAAAATTTAAACATTATTTACGAAGTATTCCGTATAAGTTTTTATTTAAAAAAGATATTGTACCATCATACAACAATTGTCAACAAACTTCCTCATATATACATCTTGACAATTTCCCTGGATGTAGTTCAAGTATATTTTCCGATATGTCATATCTCTGACATTAGTATATAATTAAAGTGAAACAAATCCTAAAAAAAATCTTAATATAGTAAAACTATAATCAATATGCAAGCTAAGAAAAACAAAATCATGAGATATTAATATGTTAACTAACTATACAGACTACAGAGGACAATTAAGGGGAATTTTACGCTTATATTTCTCGTCACCTCTACTTGAACGACATGGGAGTGATGAGACCAAAACATGAACACGTACTGTAGTAATATTTCTATGATAAAAATTTGACAGCTACTCGTATTAATTATTACTCCGTAGCACACAAGTACATAACTATAAGCAGAAAATTCAACTTAATGACGTAGAGGTCATTGGTGCAAAAAATATACACCTCTAACTATGATTCTTAATAGGATGCTATACTTGTTTTGGGCGATAGATGGATTAACAGTTAGCTGTGTAGAGAAGGTTCAAGAAAATACTGTCATGACTCATGAATATATATATCTAGCCAATCTAGGCATCCAGCAAAATCCGGAAAATGATAATACTATAAATATTTATGATGAGCTTCCAAATCATTAGATAAATGTATGTAGCAAAATGTTGAATGTATGACTTTAAGATAATTTTTATTTAAAATAACAAATTCTAAAATAAGACGTTGTATAATAAATGTTATAAGACGGGTGTAACGTTACACCAAGATGATCAATTGTCAATTGATCATAATTTACCCCAAAATATTTTAAAAGAAACAACAGAAGAATATGGAACATTTTTTTAATTTTTTTAATTGGGTGTGATTTACTAAAACTTTATTCGCTATCCACATAACCCAGGGGAGAGGGGGTGGTTTATCAAATTTTTAGGAGTTGTGAATACAAAGTGGATTAACTCAAATCTAATATTTAGAGAACAACATCTTAACTTTATCTCTCTTTCTCTCTCTCATGTGGTCATCCCTAACCGCGATTTTGTAGAGCTGTAGGAAAAATAACTAATTTCTTCTTTATAATTCCTCTATTTTTACTCAACTGCAATTTAACACATCACCTTTTACCTTCCTTTCAAAATCCCTTTTTTTTTTTTTATCTTCAAAAAAATTTATAAGAAAATTCATGAATCTTTTGAAAATATAGCTTAATACCTTTTCGATAACTATTACGACTTAGGAAGAAGAAAGTGGCATCCAAACAAAAGTTCCGTTATAATTGAGGTAATTAATATTGGCCTGGCCTAATTAATGATCTATATTATGGGCGTGTACATGTCAAATGTTAGAGATACAGCAATATCAAAGTATGATTTGAATATTGTTTGTTTAGTTTTGTGAATATATATATATATATATGAATATATATATATATATATATATATATATATATATATATATATATATATATATATATATTTAAAAATCATGCAAGAAAATGTAACCTGCATGAATGTAAAAGTATAACAAATTGAATAAAAAATACCACATCAATAAGTTTAATTTTTCCTTGCATATATAATTAGTTGAAGCAACCATAAATGATAGTAATGATAAATAATACTCGTATGGAGTAACAATGAGTCGAGTTAGAGTTCCATTATAAGCACCTTAGTCTCGTACGTGCCATTGTGCCAATATAAACTGATAAACATGTCTTATTGGAGTTAATTTAGACCGCATAGATCTATCCTAAAAGATGTATAATAGTCAATAGTCCCAATTGGGATGACATTCATCTTACAAGCTAGTGTGGTACGCAATAGCTAAATAAACAACAGAGAATTTTGTAGATTTGGAGGACAATATTATTTAAGTGTAATAAATAAGAGAAGACAAATCAAGCTATAAGGTATGGTGTATATAAGAATTTTCAATATATACGAAAATGAGTGAATGACTATGTGCACAATAGCTACGCCATCGCCCCTTCAATTCCATGAAAGTGGTGGTTGCATGAAGTTGCGGGCATCATAAACATCATAATTACGTGGTTTTAAGCTACCATTTATTGTGCTTACGTTACTTATACACAAATGTATGATCTTAATTATTAGAACTAGTACGTGTTTGGTTGGGGGGACGTAGTAACTAAAACATAATTTGTATCCCCTTACGGGGCGTTTGGAATGTGGGAATGAGAGTTTGGAGATTAAAATGTGGGAATGAGATTGGGAATTGATTGTTGGGAATATAGAAAAATATGACAATACTTTGTTTGGTAGTAAATGGGAATAGACGGGGAATAAATAACAAAAATACAAAATTACCCTTACTAATCTTTCTCCTCCATTTCTTTCATTAATGGCAAAAATGTCATTTCATATTCCCATTCCCACCCATTTATTACCTACCCTCCCTAGGTAATAAAATGGTGGGAATTCACCCCATTTATACCCAATCCCATTCCCTTCTTTAATCCCAATCCCATTCCCTTCTTTAATCCCAATCCCATTCCCATTCCCTTCTTTAATCCCAATCCCATCTAACAAACAAGATATTTTGTTTGATTTGGGATTAAAGTTCCCATTCCCACCCTCAATTCTCATTTACCAAACACCCCCTTATAGTATGTAGGTTGCTATATTTAACCCAATAATATCCACACTAAATAGAAATTAAAAGTTTTTGGTATAACTACTTTTTTTTTTTTTTAATAGCAAAAATATTTCATTAATTAAAAGTCATACGACATCTACAATATAAGATTCGATGTTAACAAATACATCAGATGTTGAATCAAATAAAATTCTCCTTCATGAAAACTACGATCATCAAGTAGATCTTGCACTGTGAAACATATCTCGTTTATATAGTTGGAAAATACAACTTTTTTGGAGAGACAATCTGACAATCTTTTTGTAGCTGAGAGGATATTTTTCTTCTGATTCATCTGTCTGCGGCATTCGAAAACTTGATAACTTTTTCACCAACGAAATAATTTCACGATAATCCATTAGATCTTATATCATTGATTCAAAACTAAGAAATTTCTCCCCTGAAAAGAGGAGATGAACCTTGACTTTTGAAGAAGGTCGAAAAACCCTTGTCTCTCGAAGGAGTTCAAAAACCCTTTCTTTCGAGGGAGAAAAGTTCCTCCCAAAAGGAGGAAGCATTATTATAAAACCCAAATTAAACTTTAAAAAAAAACTAGGATTGGGGTTTTCCACCGGTTAAAACCGATGGAAGCCCCTTTAAAATTCAACGACGGAGGCTAGGGTTTTGAAGAGAAGAGAGGTTTTTAAATTACCTTGTAAAAGTTGGTTTGTAATGGTATAACTACTCTTAATAGTACAGTAATAAGTAATTAGTTTCTCCAACCCCTTCTCTTACAGCTATTTTTATACATTGAATTTAATAAAAAAAAAATTAAATTCTGTCACATGTTTATACTCATTCATACATTTAGATATGAATCTTATGATAAATTCATCATCAGAAATCTAGGACCATCATACATCTGATCTTTTAGTTATGATATACCCATATTCTGACCTAAAACATTAAGACTGAGTACAGTGTGTCTCATTGGTCGTTGGGCCTTTAGTTTGGGGACATGCCCCAATCAAGCAGACATATACACCTTCTTTATTTTTGTTTTAATTGCTACTTCAAATTTTTATTTTACCATCCAATGTAGGGTATAATTAGTTATATAAATTGGGACCATCATACTCTTTTAGTTAGATAAAATCATATCTTCACATAAATAAATAAATAATATTTTGCATGCTAGTATAGCAAAAATATACGAGTACAATATTTCATTTGTTTTTGTAATCGCAACATTGATGTTTTTATGTTTACCATTTACATTTTATCATATGGAGTACTATCAACACATTTAATTATGTTTTAGTAAAGAATATAAATACTACCTCAGCTTCGTATTATATATGCACCTTTGGTGTATTATTTATGAGATATAAAAAATTCCAAAGTTGCATATAATATAAACCGCAGATAATAGTAAATATTTCAATAATATATGCCTAGATGATTCTTACTAGACCTGCCTAGGACTATTGTGATCGATTTTCCTATTGTATAATAAATCATAAAATATGGTTAAATCACAATCTCCAACGTTGTTAGTTGTCACCTTATTAACGTAAGTCGTTACACATACTAATATACTATCAACTTGCATATTAATAATCCCGCTTAGAATATTCCAAAATAGATGTTATATATATCATATCATCGAGACAGTTGGAGTTATTACTGGGCCTAGTTAGCTGAATCAAAGAATTTTCTGGTAGAAGTGTAGAAGTGTAGTGTACAATAACGAAACATTCAAGGTGATTGAGAAAGCTAGCTAGAGAGAGAAAGCAAGTACTTGTAAGAGATGGTGAACACAGTGAGTTGCTACGTTTCCTTCCTAAACAAAACAATGAAGTTAGCAGGGTTGCAACCCAAGGAAGTGGAAGTAGCACCAGGAACAATTATTCATTTTTGGGTTAACAACAACAACAACGATGACAACGACAACAACAACACGAAGAAGAAGAAGAAGAAGAAGCTACTGCCTTTAGTTCTTATACAAGGTTTCGGAGGTGATGGAATACTAACATGGCAATTCCAAGTTTTAGCCTTAAGAAAAAAGTATGATCTTTATATACCCGACCTCCTCTTTTTTGGTGGATCCTATACTAGTAGTAAAACTAAGATAACTCCAAGGTTACACGCAGATTGTTTTGCAAAAGGGCTAAGGAAGTTGGGTGTTGAGAAGTGTGTGGTGGTCGGGTTAAGTTATGGTGGGTTTGTTGGGTTCCAAATGGCTGAACACTACCCTGACTTGGTGGATTCGATGGTGGTTACCGGCTCGGTTATGGCGTTGTCCGAGTCCATAAGTAGTAAGGCTTTGAAGAGGATAGGGTTTTCTTCTTGGCCGGAGTGTTTGATGCCTAATTCTGTTGAAGGTGTCAAGGCTTTTCTTGATGTTACTTCTTATAGCTTGCCTTGGATGCCTAATTTTTTCTACAAACACTTCCTTGAGGTAATTAACGTCTTAACTTATTTCTCCTTTCCCTCATCAATTGAAATAGTGGGGAAAATATATGGTTGATAAATGCATTTTACTTTTACTATATTATAAATGTTAGAAGAATTGACAACATGTGGCTTAGGTTTTCAGGGCCTAGTTCAATTTTACATACAAAATTATTGGGTCTGTTTCATAAAATAAAAATAAAAATTATTAATAATAAACAAAAATTTTTGTTTCTCCATACATCATACGGGACCATTCAAATCATATAAATTAATTGTTCTATTGAATTTAATTTTGTTCAATTTTCATATTTAGATTGATATTTTTGACAGACATTAATAAAGGTGCAAAACCAAGAAGATTAAACGATAAGTTGTTTAAGTGATCCTTGATATATTCATAATTTTGGGTTGTGTTTTTTCGAGGGGTTTTGTGTTGTCACATTGGCCACACTACATACGTCTTTGACATCCCCGAGGATTGATTTATCTCCTCCAATTTAAGTAAACTACATACAATTATTTATTAATTTTTCTAGTTTAATAATTGGACCTTTATCATTTGTTGGTTCATTATTAATATTATATTCATGTTGATCGAATTTAGGTGTTAATCCAATGTTACTTCTTCCATCTCAAAGTTAATCTTGACAATTATTAGGAGACATAGTCTAGATGATATGTTATTTGATTATCAATTGTTATTTTAAAAGAATTCAATATTTTTTCAAACTCCGATCCGTATTATTATGATCTAGTCACATCATTTGGTACATAATTTGTAGTTTGCAAAAATGAAATTTCTATCAAAGAGAAAAGAGACAACAACAGTTTGACAATTAGTACGAGTATTATAATTAATATATAACTAAATTTGGTTGGAACTGGCAATTTACTTTATTGTTCTTTTAACAAAAAGACGTACATAATTTGATTATAATACGGAGTATTATGCAATTATTGGGCCACTCTTTAATGTCCGTGTTTAAAATTACTGTATATTGCGGCAAATTGTTATGATGGCAGGCTTTGTTTAGCAATAATAGGAAGGAGAGAGTTAAAATATTAGAGGCTCTTGTGGTCAAAGATGAGCATGTCACCAACCATCAATTTCGGCAGGTAAGCTAAACTTGTATGTATTTAAAAAAAAATTATAATTAATGACTAATTAACATTCTAAATTGGCACATGTCAAATTATTTTTATTAATCCTAATTTTTATATTATTCCTTTTTCACCCTTCTAGAGGATACACCTACTATGGGGCGAGGATGACATAATTTTCAACATGGAAGTGGCAAACAACTTGAAAGAGTATGATCTTTTTCAACTTTTTAACACCTATATAATTTACTACTCGTATTTAGTTCTATATTTACCTCAGTTTAGTTATTTTTTATTGCGTAAATTTAGATGTATCGTAATTTGAATCTTCAATACTGTATGTGACAATTAAATTCGAATAAGAGGTAATAACGAGGTAAAACCTGTGTCTTATTGATGATCGACGATGCATGCAGGAGATTGGGTGGCAAGACGAACTTGCAAGTTTTAAAGAAGGCTGGTCACTTAGCTCCATTGGAAAGGCCATTTGCCTTCAACAAATGCCTCAAAAAAAATGCTGGACTCCTTGGCTATAGATAGATAATCGACAATAAATTAAACACTATTTTTAGTTTGTTAAGTTTGTCGCATTTAATAGCACCTAATTATTGTAATTCCAGCATATCTACTTGCTACCGCTGCAGTATCATCAATTCATCAAGTTTTCTTTTTCTATTGTATTATTCTCTTAAGGGTAATGCTATATGCAGCCCTTAGGGCTGTATATAAGCATTTATCGTCCTTCCTTTTTTAGTATTAATTGGGAATTTATCGACAATTTACGAGTAAATCGATGTAATAAATGTTTATTTATTATCTATTCTTTCTACTTTTAGTTTTGGTTGAGAACCTTAGCTTGGGCCCCGGGGACAATCGGACAAGACCCCAAACAGTCAAGGTCAAACATATAATAATACTTTCTCGGTTTATTTTTAAGTGCATCATTATTTGCCATTTTACATATGTTAGCATAATACTTTTGCTATCAATATTTAATTATGCTTTAATAAAAGTTATAAAAAGTTGATTTTGAAAAGAAGATATCAAGACGGATTTGAACACCAGATGAGCATATTTTTTTTGTTACAAATAATCACAAAAGATGGTCAAAAGAGATTGTATGGATCCCTATTTTTTTAAAAAAATACACCGCATTAAATAACTCATCTTATCATGAATAATGTTTGAAAAAAATATCCTAAAAAATGATTAGTTACTTACTGCCCTTATTAAAGTTAGTTCCTTATGGTCTAGAACAAGTGTGGGTTAATCAATGTCCTTTAGAGATTAGTCCGTATGTACTCTCATATACTTTCATTATCTGTTAATTAATGCACTGCTCAGCGTTTTCCTTAAAAAAAAAGTAGTATGTGCACATTTATACCCCTAAGATTTTTTATTTTTATTTTACATGTTTTTCCTTGTTAATATTGTGTCAACAACTAAATTTGTGAGTTAAGGCCAAACAAAAACAGCTTTTCAAACATGACAAGTTATAGCATGCATCCCATGCGATAATACGTAGTATTAATATTAGGGGTGGCAATTCGGGTCAGCAGGTCGGGTTCGGGTCAGATGTCGGGTCGATTTCGGGTTATTCTTAGAAACTATTAAAAATAGTGTAAAACTTAATATTATTACGAAATATGAAATTTGGGTCAAATCGGGTCGAATTCGGGTTGTTCGGGTTCGGTTCAGGTCGGGTTCGGGTCTCTCTCAGTAACTTCGGGTCGGGTTCGGGTCGGGTTTTCGTGTCGGGTCAGGGTTTGCCAGCCCTAATTAATATTGTGGTTCAAATTTAGTTATCACAGATGGTTTAAGTCACATAACTATTAATAGGGGATAAATTATTGGAAAGATGTGAAGATGGTACGTCAGCGATCACATCTGTAGTTATTAGTTGGCCTAACTTAGGTCTATTCAAAAAAATAAAAAAGCTTAATTAGGTAGCTAATTAAAATAAAATAAAGAAATTCTTGTAGTAGTGTAAACGTGGCGGCCTGATTAGCTGAAACAACGAAATTTCTATTAGTAGGGTAGAGGTGCATTATATAACGAAGCATTATATTCAAAGTAATCGAGAATGATAGAAAGAGAGAGAAAGTGAAAGAGAGATGGTGAACACCGTGAGTTGCTACATGTCCATTTTACACAAAATGATGAAATTAGTAGGGATGCAATCTAAGGATGTGGAGATAGATCAAGGAACAGTTATTCATTTTTGGGTTAACAATAATAATGACGACAACGACGAAGACAACAACAACAACAACCCGAAGAAGAAGCATCCGCCTTTAGTTCTTATACATGGTTTCGCAGGTGATGGCATACTAACATGGCAATTCCAAGTTTTAGCCCTAAGAAAAAAGTATGATCTTTATATACCCGACCTCCTCTTTTTTGGTGGATCTTATACAACAAGTGACACTAAGATAACTCCAAGATTTCAGGCAGATTGTTTTGCAAAAGGGTTAAGGAAATTGGGTGTTGAGAAATGTGTGGTGGTCGGGTTAAGTTATGGTGGGTTTGTTGGGTTCCAAATGGCTGAACACTACCCTGACTTGGTGGATTCGATGGTGGTTACCGGTTCAGTTTTGGCGTTGTCTGAGTCCATAAGTAGTAAGGCTTTGGAAAGGATAGGGTTTAATTCTTGGCCGGAGTATTTGATGCCTAATTCTGTTGAAGGTGTCAAAGTTCTTCTTGATAAAGCTTCTTATAGCTTTCCTTGGATGCCTAAAGTCTTCTTTAAACACATTTTTGAGGTACTTACTAAATTCTTCTTTCCCTTAATTGCACTTGTGGGAAAATTAATGGTGGACAATTGCATTCTAGTTATTGTATACGTGTGAAAATGACTAAATTAATTAAATACATTTGTGGGGTTTTTTTTTATCAAGTATACGTGTGAAAAAGACTAATTAATTAATTTGGAATTGAAAATGGAAAGAAAGTATATTAAAGCTACCATAGGATAATACTACGTATATTAATATACGATATAGGGATAAGGTATATGGTCAATTCAAAGTAGTAATGATTTATGTCTAAAATTTATGACATACTCTTAAGAAGATTAAATCATGGGAGAATACCGTGTTCTCTTTAAAGACCTTACCTTATTTTTATTATGCAGTTGAAATTTCTTGTTTAAATTTAATTTGTTTAAAATTAATACCAAATCAGATTATGAAACTAATATTTTTAATAGCAATAGTAAAACAATCTCAACAAGGCAACAATTGTATTTAATCTGTTTCATATTATTCTTTTTACTTACTCCGTATTATTATTATTATTATTATTATTATTATTATTATTATTATTATTATTTTGTGAGACAACATTGGTTAATTAAAGTAGGAACGAAAAAAATATGCATGAACAGTAATTAGTTAGATAGACAGTGAATCGTATACGTAGTTCAGTAGGGGCTTTGATTGGTGCACCGTTTGCAAAGTGCAGCGAGACATGGTCCAGAGTCCAGACTTCAGAAGGCCCTCAACCTTGCCACAAATGCAAAATCTAGTCTTATTTCTTTTAATTATTTTATGTAGTGTGTTGTTTAAGCTAGCTTATGTCCAAAAAAAAAAAAAAAAAAAAAAAAGCTATTTAGGTACTGTCTTGAATTTTGATAATATAATTGAACTATGATGTAATCAATACCGAGTATCTAACTAAATTTAAATGGAATTAGCTTTTTATTGGTCCACCCCTTTAATATATGTGCTGAAAATTACTGTATGTATTGCTGTAAATAATTGTGATGATGCCAGGTCATGTTTGGCAATAGGAAAGAAAGAGTTGCAATATTAGAGGCTCTTGTGGTCAAAGATGAGCATGTCACCAACCATCAATTTCGACAGGTCTGCATGTATTGTCTTGTAATTATATAATTCTATTAATTAATGACTAATTTACATTCTTAATTGGCAAATCAGCATATGTCAACTTTATTTTATCATTCCTAGCAAGATTTCCAAATCGAATTTCTAATTTTTTTTTTTTACTTTTCCTCTATCCCTCTTGTAGAGGATTCACTTACTCTGGGGCAACGATGACAAAATTTTCAACATGGAAGTGGCAAACAACTTGAAAGAGTATGATCCTTTTTGAAATTGAAATGGATGTGATAAAATTTGTTTTGCATACGTAGTGGTATCAGTCACCTTAATAAGTCCACAATTATTTACTGTTACGTTTATATACACAACAGTATTAATGCGTGATTTTTTACTATGACAACTAAATTCGAATAAAAGGTAATAATGACCGAGGCAATAACTATGTCTTATTGATAATTGCCGGTGCAGGAGATTGGGAGCCGAGACTAATTTGCAAGTGCTAAAGAAGGCTGGTCACTTAGCTCCATTGGAACGACCGTGTGCCTTCAACAAATGCCTCAAAAAGTTGTTGGACTCCTTGGCTATTGCCTATTGAAAAGTGATCAACAACAAATGCCTCAAAAAATTATTTCTAATTTTTCCATATATATATATATATATATATATATATACTCCCTCCGTTACATATTACTCGCAATATTTTATGTCTCACAAATAATACTCCTTTGTTGCGAGTAATTCGTAACGAGGAAGTATATAAATTTAGTGAGAATTTACGATAAAATATTATAAAATTATACTTCAAAAAAAGAAAATAGTGTAAACAATTAGGAAGCATGTATATGCAAATGATGGGTTGAAAGTCATTAGTCAAGTATGAGGCATAGCCAGAGTATGAATAGTCAATTGAATGGATAGAGATAGCTAATAAGTACTTATCACTCACGCAACAAGTACTCCATATTAAATATTTAATTCTTAATTTTGCATATATAATATGTCACTTAGCAAAATATCAAGAAATTCTATAATATAGCTGCGATTAATGATTCAGGGAATATTCCGTTTTATTGAAATCAATTGAACTTAATTGAACCGATTGAGGCTGAAGACGATGAACTGAACTGAATAGAGCTGAAATAAATTGTTTATGAGAGAAAAAAAAATGAGGAATTGAATTGAACTGAACTGATTGTAGCTAAATTGAATTGAATTGAAATTAAGCTGAACAGAATAGACCCTTAGTGATACAAAAGTTTTTACAATTTTTCTTAAGTGATATGAAATCCTATAATTAAATCCCAAAGATTTTATATAAAGTGAGATGATATACATGATCCCATCTCATCTTTGAAGAATTATGTATAAAATACTCTTATATTCATACTCTTCATCTCTCACAAAGTTAATATTTTAAGGTGCAATTTTAAAATAGTCAATAAAGAAAGAAAACATTATACGTAACTACTTATTATTGGACAGGTCGACCATGATATAGTGTCTTGATCCGAGAAATTGTCAATGGGATTAAAATAAAGCATCTCATGTTATGTTCAAACATCATATAGTATTACTTCATTTCGAAGGTTGTTTACGCATGCATTAGGCTTAGGCCACCATAACAATATACAAAGTATATTTGTGCTTCTTCATCTTTCAAAAAAAAGATTTTAAGATACAAAAACCAAAACCATGGTACATCAACAAAAAATTCCAGCAATAATTCTGAAATTAGCCTTTTCATTAATCTTGCTACATTGTTTCTGTAAACCAGTTACCTCTGAATCAATTATCAATAACATGTCCTTCTCTTGTATATTAGCTACAAATGCAAGTATTTCCTATCAAAACAACGTCAACAGCCTTTACTCCGCCTTCACCACCCACGCCTCGCAAACCGGCTATTACTTCACCAGCGCCGGGGGCCAACCCGACATCGTATACGGCTACTACATGTGTCGTGGTGATCTCTCTTCCGATCACTGCGACAGTTGTATAGTCAACGCCGCAAAATTTGCTCAAGAAACAGATTGTAAACATAAAGACGGCCTTTTCGATTCTGACGAGTGCATCTTTCGCTATGCTAATCACTCAATGTACGGCCTATTAGAACCGGCCGCAAGTATTACTATTGGGGCACCCACGGCGAAAGTGTCAAACTACAAGCAGTACAACCATACATTAGGGATATTGTTGGAAACGCTGATTAGTGAAGCAGCATTTGGAAATGGATCGTCGTCGAATGTGCCGGGTTTCGCCACCAGAGAAGCGGATGTTACAAGTGATGAAACAATTTATGGTTTGGCTCAGTGTACGCCTGATATAGTTGGAGTTAATTGTAGCAAGTGTTTGAGATTTGGACTTTCATCTTTAAGGTCTTGTTGTGATGGTACTCAAGGGGCGCAAACTATTAGGCCTAAATGTTTGCTACGATATGATAATCGTACGTTTTATAATACTATGGATTCTAATGCTTCTCCTTCTAGTACCCAAGAAAGGTTGAAGTACACCATTTTTTTGGTTATGATTTCTTCCTTTTTAATCCTGGTTGTAGGTGGCTGAATTGTTCTAGAAAATTAGAGTATTTGTGATTCATATTTATGTAAAACTTAAACACCTACTAGCTACAGCCTACTACAAGTTATGGAGTATTTAGATTTTTCATCATTGTTATTTTATACTCCGTAATTCCTGAGTTCTTTTTTACTTAACCCGTTTTGATTTTTAACTATTTTTTTCCAATCATTAAAAGCATATTTCCTCCGTTTTTATTTAGTTGACGCGATTAATTTAGGCACATATATTAAGGAGAGGAGAGAGAGAGAAAGAATAAAAAACAAGTGGGGTAACTTGTAAATACAAGGTAAAAAAGTTACCCTAAAAGAAAACGTGTCAACTAAAAAAAACTTCCTAAACAGGAATAAGTGCAGTGCCAACTAAAAAGAAACGGAGGTAGTATAATACAATGACAATTTCTCTACCCCTTGGGTCAACCCACACATGTTGATGATGTAACACTATATTTAATAAGTGAGTCTTATTTATAAATTTGTACCCACCCTAAGTCTAGTAGCTACAATATGAGTTATCTAATGAGCAATAACATGTAATGTAAAATTTGTAAGAATTGTAACACTTTATTAGCTTGACGGGATAAAAATAAAAAAATAAATTAAAAAAAAAACTTCTACTACGTACAAAGACACCCAAAAAATAATCGACAAACCTATTTTTGTAGCATAAATACAGGTTTCTACAATTCTACATTTCTACCAAAGTAGCAGAGTGAGAGATTATAAATTATTAAAATTAATTGTCAATATTTTGCTATTTCATTTTGGGAGGGAAGCACAGAATAGTCAACCTACATGGCTACATATAGAGAGGGGAGGAGAAGAATTCCCCGCCAAAACACCAACATTTGAAACTCCACAATCGCGGGCTAACAGTGATGGAAGCAGATGAATTTCGCGATCAATTTCTCTCTATCAACTTCATCACTAACAATCAAGGTAATGTATTTGATTTTGAACAATTTTGAACATAAATTCGTAAAATCGCAAGTTAATTTTTCGCAATTGAAATCCTTAATCACAACTTCAAACCCTAATTTCTTTGTAATTCCAGAATTCCTCAATTTTCGTACTACATGTGTGTTCGCTGATCCAAAATTGAGGTGATGCATTGATTATCGCTTAATTGATCGATCTTAGGGTTTTAACTTCCCTCAACTTCATCTCTAACAATTAAGGTAATATATACGATTTTGAACAATTTTATCACGAAATCGTATATTTGCAAGTTAAATTTTCGCAATTGGAAACCTTAATCACAGCTTCAAACTCAAAACCTAACTCTTATATGTTTGTAATTCCAGAATTCCTCAATTTTCGCACTAAATTTTTGTCCGCGTGATCGAAAATCGAGGTGAATGCATTGATTTTCGCCTACTTGATCGATCTAGTTTTCGCTTTCCTCAACGTCATCTCTATCTATCAAGGTAATGTATCTGATTTTGCACAATTTTATTCATGAAATCGTTAATTGCAAGTTGATTTTCGCAATTGAAAACCTTAATCACAACATCAAACTCAAATCCTAATCCTTATATCTTTGTAATTCCAGAATTCCTCAATTTTCGTACTAAAGTTGTGTCTGCATAATCAAAAATTGAGGTGAATGCATTGATTTTCATCGAAGTGATCGATCTTAGGGTTTTTGCTGTCCAATGGCAATGGAGAAAATTGTTCGTCAATTTCAGGTCAGTTAACATCGGCGTTAAACCTATTGATCCTATGAAGGTTTTTTTTTCGTCAATTTAAAGTGATCGATCTTTATATTGGTTTGTTTGATCGTAATATGCATTTTAGAGATTTCTGTGAGATAATTGTCTGCTGGAGGTTGAAGTGGAAAAAAAAAAACTAAAAATTAGTACTCAGTAGCGACTCCACTGGGGATCGAACCCAGAATCTCTGGTTTCGTAGACCAGCGCCTTATCCATTGGGCCATGGAGTCCTTGTTGATATTATTTTAGTGCAATAAGAAAGGGAGGTTCAGTTTAGAAGGTTCTTTATTATGGTAGTGAGTGTAGTGACTAATGATTCCCATGGGAATCAAACTGATATTTACGTAGTATTTGGCTAAAGTTGTAGTCCTTTATCTCTCCAATTTATAGTATTTTATTGACACTTTGACCATTGGAGTGACAAATTGGAATATTTGTATTGCGTCAAAATTTTAGAGTGATTGATCAAAAAGGATTTCAAAATGTACATTAGGATGATGCTTCCTTTGATAAAGGATACATAAATTCATTTTCTTCATTGTCACATATTACCACCTATCAAATGGGCCGCTAAAGTGCTGGTTTTTGTAAATGAGAAATATCCTACTGGTTGAAATTAATTTTGAGACTTTTAAAAAGATGGAAATTCAGAGATTAGATTTTTACCATATATAGTTATGAATCAAGTATCCAAATCACTAAGATAGATCTTCAATAGGTAACTAATTCGGAGATGCCCAAAATGCTCCAATCTATTTCAGTGGGTAATCTAAACGTGTAATATCTTGAGATGTGATTCCTTAGGATTTGGTGGAGGAAGGATATTTCTAGCTCAATCAAGTTGGAGATGTGAAGTTAGACGGGGTATATATTTTCTATGGCCAATCAAATTTGAGATGCTTCGGCAATATCTCAACTCAGCTTTCACTTATTAGGTTGAGGGATTTGTGAAGATTCGCCAATAAAAAAAAATTCTGGAAAGTACTTTTTGATGGTTACTTCTTGGCCGAGCTTGGATTTCATGAAGGCTCAACTTTTAGCTATGTAGTCTTTCTTAGGACCATTGGTTAGATGATAGATGCTCCGTACTACATTTAGGAGCTGATTGGTTGATTCTGTTCTATAACCCAAATTAATGTCTCTTAAAACTGTGGAGGTTTGGCATGTGCAGCAATCTTTGGCCCATCTTTGTTTAGTACTCAAGTCTTGAATTTATGTTAAAACATCTTGTGTTTTTGACCATATCATTACAAGGGTGGCAACTTATTAGTACTTTTTCTCTTGATTCTTACTCCCATGTCTTTTTTTAAGTTAATCTGATGTATAGAATTTCATGCTGTTGTGTAATTGAGTGTAGCTATGCTGGTGAAATGTTTGAATAAATGAGGGTTTGATACTTTGATTTAATGGTTATAACTGAATCTGAGGGAGCGTATACATTTTATCTCAAATGATGTACTAGCTTTGCTAACTTATACTACTCCTGAATCGTTTTTAACTTCTTGCCTGAGTTAAGATACTAATTTATGTGGCTTGGTTTTACTTCTGTATGGTTTATTATGTTTTAATAATCATCTTCACTCTTTTCATCTTAAATTTCTAAATCTCTCCGCTCTGTAGCTTGTGCGCTTTGTGCTTTACATTCGTTTTGCCAAGTTTAGTACTTGTTGTCTCTTCCTTACTCTTGAAAATCACATCACTGTTTTGATTTTGTGCTTTTACTTAAATCTGCACTGAAAGTCAATTTGTAAGTTTTTTGGAATACTAAAAGTAGGACAGACAGAGTATTAGATAAGATAACAGCCCTTTCTATGATGCCAAGCATTGTTCCTAATTAAACATTTGAAATCTATTACCTTAGCCTCTGAAGCTCTATGATACACTATAACTAATTTAATTATTGTGTTCATGGAGCATACCATGTCGAGTGTCAATGGTAACTGTGAGTGTTTTTGGCTTTAAATGTGACATTTCTTGTGTTAAAATAGATGTCCTCCCTTGTTCCTACAAACTTTTCAGTTTTCAATGTTTTGGGGTTCAATGGGTCTTATTTTAACTCAGTAGCTTCCTGGTAGAACTGGCTGTGTGCACCTTCTTTTTTAGATGTTCCATGCCCATAGTTTTTTGATGCATTTTATCCCATAAATGTGTAGAGTCAATTTATGTTTTATCTTTTTTGTAGAATATTTGGTCACAATGCTATTGGTTGTCTGATCTACAAAATTCTATCGAATCTTTGTCTAATATGATAGGAGAATTTCATATCATGATATATATCTGTTGATCTTCAATAGTAACGGGAACATTATTTTGGTATTAATGGATGACCTTTTTGACATAAGATATGCCAATCAGGAAAATTTAACATGACACTTAAAACCTCTGGAATTCGAGCTTAAGAGAAAAGTACAAGTTCTTGTCAATCTATTTCAATAAGTTCTATGGCATGCTTGTTTGCATTAGCTAAGTGATTTATGGGAACTTATGTATTAAAATTGTAAGATACACTCATGTTTAAGCCTCACTCTCATGTTATAGAACAGAATAGATAAAATGCAAGAAAGTTTCATGAAATCAAGTCATTCGAAAATACTTATAATACACATTGATACAGCATTACAGAAGCCGTGGTCAAGTAAGACCCTTTTAGACTGCAATTACAGGAAAAGGATAAAGGAACATAAGAGGCTGTTCCAGACAAAATCGTAGCTATTGCACTTGGTGTTACAACTTCACTGCAACCTGAGATACCTTAGCTGCCTGGAAAAGTATGAAAAGCAAAAAGTTAATCTTAGGAACAAATTCCTCCACTTTTTTCTATATTTTATTTACAATAGGACTTTTTTTTTTTTATGCTGAGGGGAATTGTGGGGAGGGAGCCGTTTAATATGCAGCAGTTTAGGTACTACTTTGCATGGATATTTTCATGCAACCTATTAATTTGGGCCTTTGAAAAGTTAACTTGGATCATTGATGCTGTGGAATCGTGTTTGGTACCCACCATTGTTTTTTGCATTACATGGCAGGCCTCTATTCTATCTTTGGTTTTGCTATTGTTGCAGTAATTAATGTTTTTCCTTTTCCTTTTTAACACCAACTTCTCCCTTGTAAAGCAATTAAATAGAAAACCATACCATGTGTTTGTATATACTTTTTTCTTCCTTGTCTGCTGGCTAATGCAGAGGAACTGTGCTCATGCAAGGTGAGGCTATTAAGGGGCCAAAGTATTTAAGTATGCCACGACCATCCCCTTCCAACTCTTGATTATGAATTTATTTTTTGATTACTAGTTATTTAGGATTTTAGGTTGATATGGGCCATCTTCATTGTCCAAACCTCGCTTTGCCTCTGTGTGCTCATGAGTGATAATTTAGGTCATTTTCGTCAATAATTAAAAAAAAAAAAAAAAATAGCTGAGCCTGGGAGCAGGGCTGAGACTTGTTTTTTATTTTTTAAATATAAATTTCTAGACCTTTTTACAAATAAAAATAAAGGGGCACAGACCACCACTAGGTGGGATCTGGAATCAATTTAGGATGAGATCACATGTGAACTTTTATCTTGGACTTGAGACAGGATAAGCAGGTAAGAAAAGAATATTTTTAGATTCAGATTCTTCCTGTCAAAGTAAACAACCTATAATTGATAATCAAGCCAAATTATATGGGCCATCTAAACTCCCAAACTTTCCAAGATTTTCCTATCAACTTTCCTGAACTTAGAAGTTGGATCCCTGGTCCCCTTCATCCCTGTGAAATTGAACTCGTACAACAGGGCATATTCAACTTAAATTAACGTTGGCCTAATTACATGCATGATATATAATGTATGCTAATGGTTTATGTCATATTTTAGTATAAATTTAGCCAGGTTGATTACAATAACTTCAATATGCATTGACCATGATGCATTAAAATAACTATTTTGAATGTGTTATACTTTAATCCTTGTTTCCTCTCAAGTTCTTATGCATTTTATTCATAGAATCAATGTTGATCAAAACTATATTCTAATTTTAATGACATGTTGTTTGAGACTTGAGAGATACCTTTGCTCCTCATTGAAGTTCATGGAGTTACCGGTGGATTGCCTGTAGTTAGGAATAGGGACACGACCTGCCTCAATTCGGTTGAGATCCTCAAGGAGGATCTCATAGTGCCTCTTGACTTCTTCGGCTGATTTCCCTTCCACAAGCCTAGCAACATTCTGCCAACGATCTTTGGTATCCTTGTCATACAACGCAAGAGCCCTCTCGAATTGCTTGTTCTGTTTTCCTGTCCATGGTGTGTTCATATTCCTGCTTGAAGCCATTGTATAGATTTATATCAGTTTGAGAGATTTGAAAGGAAAAGAGAGGAAGGACTAGATTTGATTTGGTTTCTTTGAAGGTTAGGGAGGGATGGGAAAGGTTGTAATTTGTTATTTGAATAAGTGGAGCTTGTGGCTTTCACGCTTTCACTTGTAGAATTATGTTACAAATTAAGGCTACTTATAAGGAGGTTAAAAAGAGTTGTGAGGGGGGGAGAGAAGAAGCCAGTTGGCGAATCTGCTTATCAGCGAAAAGGTGGAGAAAAATGAGTGACCCGTCTCTTTAGAAACCACAGGATCGAAATTCCATAGAGAAGCAGGGCAAGAGAACATAAAGAATCACTTTCAAAACAAGGGGAAAGGAGATAGGGATCTCTTGGTTTCTATGGAGTTTTATAATTCCACAGAGAACCTTTACTCCCAGGGGAAAACTGTTTATGTTTTTTAATTATTTGTTGCTTTGCATTTAAAAGGAAAGAAAAACATCAGATGTTCCTGTGCAACTAAGGTCTTAAAGTTTTGTTGAGGTGGGGATGTGGCTTAAGAGGAACTAACCTATGGTGTAGGTGGGTCACTTTGATAGACCAAAAAAGGATTCATGGCTTTGTTTTTCCTACTTCCTGATAAAGAAAATATTCTTCAAATTTTCATCTGAGGTTAAAATAAATACGCACTTTACTTTATTTTGTAGATATAATAGGACAAAAATACTATGAAATATCTTTATTTCCTCTGTGATTCTGCTCGTATTCTTTATGTATGCATGTAATGCATCTATCTATGTAGGATTTGCTGGTGGAGTGGTTTGCTTGGGGTAGATTTTTTGTTTTCTGATATTGTATCGCAAAGTAGATAGTAATAGCATGCTATAAACATAGACTTTTTGCAATTTTTGGGACTACAATTTTTAGTAGTAGGAGAGCATTCCAGAATTAGAATGAAAGAGAGAGTTAGATCATATAGGGTTCATGAAATTAGAGCGAGTTAGATCCTACTCCGGAGCTTAACTATTGCTTAATTGCCCTTAAATTGTTTTGTCTCTTGTTTTGAGGTAGAATGGGCTCTTATGTACCGTTCGAAATTAATTAAGGAACCTATAAATCAAAGGTGAATGGTTAAAGCTTTAACTAAGAAGTTCTTGGAGGTGATTTTTCACTCCATGAACAAATACGAACTACAAATTTATGAGGTGAATGCAAAGTTAAATTTGCCTCAGCTTATGGTCACTTGGTTTTTTTTTGCTTTGTATTAGAACTTTTAATTTTAGGTGTAATTTGAATTTGGTTTATATCCCTAGACTTTTAATATATTTTGTATCATGCAATTTTTTTTCCCAAATGAATGGATTTCTTTGAGTTAGTAAATGTTACTGTAATAATTTATGATTGTTGGTGTGAGTGTAACTCTTCAAACTTGGCTTCCTTGTAAACAACGGGTCATTATAGTTGGATAAATATTGATTTTCACGACTTCATGATAGTACAAACTAGAAGAGTGGCAATCAATATAATAACACAATTTACTTTGATTCTTTTGTTTGTTTCTTTCTCATGTTGAACGATATTGATCAATTTTTTTTTTCTTGCATGTCAGCATCTAACTCTGGCTTGTACGTGATTTCTGCAATCAACAACAAGATTTTGTCCTGATTGCCAAAGCTGAGGTAAATGCCAACAAACTGAATACTCAACCATGCAGATATTAATATTTTTATTGTTATCACAAATCTTTGGTATTTGAGATATGGATTTATTTGCTCAGAAACAACCTTCCAAAACCATATACTAACTAGCTAGCTATTTTGTGTAGCCTAGGTAGCTTAAATCTTGAGCCATTTTTATGAGCATATCTTGTTGTCTACTTGTGAAATCGGCTGTGCATGTCTCCCTTTTTGCTGACCTATAGAATTCTACTACTTGGCACTACATGATTAATACCTTTATACAAGAGAAAGATGAAAAGAAAATAAAGACCTCACTTCCTCCCTTTCAAAACTCAATAATTAAAGGTATTAGAAATTTAGAACATTTAAGCTCAATAAATTGAAGTCATTTTTTATTACTAAAAAGAGGAAATTGTACAAGTCGAAAATTAACAACATTAGTTGACAAAAACCTGAGAATGAACTTCAATTCCTAAAATTGTTTTCAAACCTCTTATGGATTGCAACTTTTAAAGACCAAAAGATGTAATTTTCTGAAATATATTATTTAACACCCTACATCCATTCATAAAAGCCACTTATTTATTTCACCCTAATGCCTTTTCAAGAAAACCCAATTGCTTATAATGGTGAATATATTGGTAGATTTTGGAACCTATAAGTATATTTTCTTTTGAGAAATATTTGTGTAAGACTGGCTGTCCGGCCTACAATTATAAGATTACTTTTGTGAGTTATTGTAAGCATGTAACCCTATCTCAATTTCTTTCTTCCTTCAGTCCAACTTACTTTTTTCTTCCTTCAGTCCAACTTACTTAAATTGTTTTTATTTAAAGTTTTGTGTATTATTTCTTTCATTAAAAAAATTCAATAAAGTAATGTACTTATTGCTTATATATATATATATATATATATATATATATATATATATATATATATATATATATATATATATATATATAGATTCCTTGGCATGAGTATTTTGTTGACTTGTTTTATGAGGGTGATGAAGTGCATAAACCATATATTGTAGCAAGAATCTTAGATGTAAATCATGCATTATGAGTATGTAGCTAGACTTGGCTAATCTAGTTATTAGATCTTAATTTACTACCCAATCTGAATTACTCACACCATATGTTCCACTTCAAACCATATTAACTCCAACCTAACCCAATCGAAATGGCTTAAATTCCAACTTATTCATGGTTCTATCACATAAGGATGCATGCTATCTTAAATTCCTTTGTTGGGGTCACTGGAGTATAAGTAAAAACTTGCATAAATCTTAGATTTCCTTGGAGGGTCATATAGTTTTCGTTTTCAACTTATTATCTTATTCTTCCCTTTTTATTAGTTGTATCTTTCCCGATTCCCTTTATATCCATTCCTAATTCTAAGCTTACGATTACACCCTCTTCTTTTTTTTTTCTTTGTTAATTTTTCCACTTTGATTCACACATTTTCTTTGTCTAATAATATATGTAATTTTATTAGTAAAATTTCATATAGTTGATATTTCAAGAATCCAATAAAAAAAATTTACACAAGTAATTTATTTTTTATCGTTTTGATTTACTCTAGAGTTCTAACTAATCAACTTTTTATTGAAGTTGAAAGGTGAAGTTCTTGCCTTCAATATAGAGTTATTTCTAATGGTAGGTTGGTCTTAACAATAGAATTCCCCTTTCCCAAAATTATGGTATGTGGTCCTTGACTCTTGCATTAGAAATTTAGAATAGGGTAAATGAAAAAAAAAAGGCCCCTTTAGAATAGGATATCACTTTAAAGGTCTCCTCTAATTTTGGTGTATTCTCTTTTCTTAAGTGTCAAATCACCCCCAACAAATTGGATAAGAAGATTTATGAGTCATGTCCTTTCATAGGCCTAAAGTAGTTGCACCACTAGGATCTGGCCCATTTCAGTTGTTACCCAATTGCCTTTTTTTATTACTAAGAACTTCTTGAGGATATTACTTTAGCCAATTTTATGCGAATAGGAATATTGATTTAAGATGCAGATCAGGAGATAATAGAAACAATGCCTATAGCAAGAGGAATCATTCAATATCTTGCTGCATAAGGTGATGATAGAGATACTATTAGTGTTATGGCCAACTTGGAAAAAGGAAAAAAAAATTAAAAGCGAAATAGTGAGAGTAAAATATTCATTTCACTCTTGTGGGGTTTTGGAGTTGATGCTATTGGTTGGGGTTGTAAATATATGTGTGTGTATATAAATATAGTAATATGAGAATTTACAGGGGAAAGAAAGGGAAATATTCTGATGATGATCTCCCAAAGAAGTGTACTAGTATCATTCTCATTTTAAGGCCATTGTCACTTTTTGTGCTAGGAATTTTTCTTTTGACTTTTATGAGTGTTCAAGGTGTGATGCCAATATTTTGCCACCATTCGTTTTTATTTTTATTTTCTCTTTCTCATAATGCCTATTCTTTCAACTATGTTTGGCATAATCCTTTTCTTTCAAAATGGTTTGACTCTTGGGTGTTTGAAAACAGTCTCTACTAATTACAATTGATTTAATTGAAAATTAAATTAGAATGATGCTATGCATGATCTATTATTAGATAATATGAATTATACGACTGTGTAGCAATTTAGCGACCTCCTTTTAGAAATTAGCAACCGTAGTGTAGAACAGTTGATGGTTTGCTACCACCCATTCATTTCTACCACTAGACTGTCGCTAATTAGCAAAATGCTAGAAGTAATAACACTAATAATTTGGCTCATATGTTGGTTTTCTGTTTCGTTGTTTTGAGTTGGCCACGTAGATTGGTATGATGCCTGAAGACTCTTATGATTCTCTCCTTGCTCTGTTGTTCCCACTAGCAAATCAGAATGAACCTATTTTTATGCTTTTATTATGTACCATTTCTGCCTACTTGGACCATTTATTTGCCTTCAATTTTTATTGTCAAAGCTATTGAATTACATTGCTTTGCTGCCTGAGTTTTTTTTTTTTTTTTTCTTTTATGCTCTTCTAACCCTGTTGATTCCAAATCACTAATCAAAACTTGTCCTAGTGCTTGTATCCTGTACTATCTTTCCCTGTTTTGATTGAGTATTTCTTTTTGTTTATAAATGTTTGGATGTGTAGTTTTTTAATTTCATAGGTATAGATACATCTTTTGCCTACTGGATTAAGTAGTTCAGGTCACAATGAGCTAACATTTAGGATTTTTTACTGTTGGTGGTAATGTGCTAATTACCTTGTAGATTTTTGTTTTTATTGCTCTGTGACTCCTGTGAGTAACCTAAATAAGCAATTTATTTAGTGAAGCAAAGAGACCAATTGTACAAAAGGACCTGTCTCTTAGGTGCAGTAATAGATTGCCTAAATTGTACGAAGTAAAAGGTTGCCTAAATTAGCAAGTCTTTAATAAAATGTTCAAGGAGACCCATTGCCTAGCACAAGCATAAAAAAAAAACAAAGAATACTAATTGAGTTTTTCCTTACTAAACTTGCTACTTTATTTGTTTTGTTCTGAACCAAGGGGGAAAAGGAACACGAGCGAAGATTTGGATATTGACCAAATTTGATCTCTTGCTAAATGGATTATAAATTCATAAGGAATGAAGTGAATCTCTTTGAACCACCTAAGAATACAAGGAAAATTCTTCCTCCGCAATTTATCAAGTGCACTATAGAGGGTGGCACAAAATTATAAACACAATATGATTTGCAAACACGTAGAGAAGATGGAGGAAGTGTCAATTTGTTTATTCAATGAGAGAAAGATAGAGACACCATTAC